TCCTGGGTCACCAGCTGTCTTGGTCAGGAATGAGGGGAAAGACTGAAGAGCCAGGAGGTTGGCCAGGTTCTAACCAAAGGGAACCACTCACTCCTCCCTCCATGCTGGTGGGCCCTAAGTGCGCTGCATGTTCCCACTGCCCCATCTCAAGTGCTGATGACTTACCTGTTCCCTCTGGTACTGAGAAGAAACTCCTCTGGAGGCAGGGAACAGGGAGCGCAGGGCCAAAGCAGGGTGTAGAGAGTGGGCCTGGGGGCCCTGGAGGCAGGCGCCACAGGGGGAGCCCAGTTGTCACTTGAGAGTGGTGTCTAACCTTCAGACAGTCACTTCGTGACAGTGAGCTTCCCCATCCACACAACATCCACTCCTTGTGTGGCGCTTGGCCCAGGACTCTGGAGGGCAGGGCCAGACCTTCCTCTGCTGCCCTGAGCCTGGGCTGGGCAGGCCGGGGCCTCAGCTGGGGATCGCAGGAGGGCTCCTGACCTTCTGCCACATCCTATCTTCCCAGGAGGTGCTCAGGCCCTACGGTGCCTTCTGGCTTGCCTCTGCCTTCTGCATCTTCAGTGTCCTTTTCACTTTGTCCTGTGTCCCTGAAACCAAAGGAAAGACTTTGGAGCAAATTACAGCTCATTTTGAGGGGCGATGACAACCTCTTCTTGTGAGTGGCTGCCTCTGCAGCAGGGCTGGCTTTGGGCTGCCGTGGGGAACGCTGCCTATGACTCCAAGCGGGGCTCTTGGCCAGGGTCCCTGCCTGTCCCCAGGGAGCCAGGATCCAGGACTGCAGCTACATGGAGCCTTGTCATCCGGGGCCCTTCCTTCCTACCGGCTCTCTACAGCCCAGCAAACAATGAGTGTGAGGTTCCTGGCCCCTGGGTCCAATTCCCACCACCACGCTGTGACTCTGGGGAAAGGAACAGCTTAGCGGGGCTTTGATGCCTTGTGGTCCATCATCCACAGGCCATCTCCATCCTGCCACGAAAGCAGCAGCAGAGGAGGGGGGGGGGAAACTCCTGGCTCCTCATTTTCTGGAAGAGATGCTTTGGGGTGATGACCCCTGGCATTTCCTGTCGTGTGGCTGCATTATCGGGAAGGAACTTTGTTTGCAAATAAAGATTTGACTCAGAGAATCAGGTCATGGCTTCTTTATGTAAACCTCGGTTTGAGAAGGGCTTTTCCCAACATCCCTTACCTAAGGAGGCCTCCCACGAACTGGGCCCTGTTCATGGGTCCAATCAACAACACCCATGGATTCCCTTTTTCTCATGGTCAGCCAGGCTACTCTTGGCCCATGTAGGTCATTTCTGGCTCCTTTCTTCAGCTCAGTCCCCTGGATCATTAGTCATCAAATCTCATTAATAACAACAATAAAAGTTTCTTTTTCTATTGACTTTAATGGAGTCAGAAATCTTTTACAAATTACCTTTATTATCCACTATACAAGGAACATAATGTTTACTGTAGGAAAACTGAAAAATAGATTTATTTAGTATAAAAATTATGCTTTTATTTTTTATATTATAATTAACTATTTAAAATAGTTAACCATCTGCTGCTAGGCATTGCACTAAGCACTTTACAAATTTTAACTCATTTATTTGGATAAATGATACCATAATTATTCATAGCCATACCTTTCCAGAGTTAACTTCTTTTAAGAATTTGGTTCTATGGGACGCCTGAGTGGCTTAGCAATTAGGCGTCTGCCTTTGGCTCAGGGCGTGATCCCACTCTGGGGATCAAGTCTCACATCAGACTCCCTGCATGGAGCCTGCTTCTCCCTCTGCCTGTGTCTCTGCCTCTCTGTGTCTCTCATGAATAAATAAATAAAACCTTTAATAAAAAAAAAAAAGAAGAAGAATTTGGTTCTATCCTGAAAGATCTCCCTCTGGACACATCCTTTCTAGCAGCACCACACAGAAGTAGGATGCCATGCTTCCCACTCTGATCTGCTTTCTTTTCCAGGGTTGTATAGCCCTCACATGCACCCACCTTGGCATTTTCTATTAAGCCTTGTAATGAGACTGGGGAGTAGGGGAGTGCAACTGCAGAGGGGGTCCAGGACAGAGCAGAGGGGAGAGTTTCTGGAAGATTCTGCAACAGCTGCTCTGATTTCAATAAAATGTGCTAACAGGACAACTTTCAGCCTTAGCAAAGTCCGAATTCCTTAGGGCCTTCCAGAAGCGAGGTCACATGCGTGTGCAGGGACGCCTTCCATGGCAATAGCCCAGCATCTACATTCTCTTTCTTAGTGCCTACATAGAGGCCCACCAATTAGGCTGGGAACTGCATTCTATTGTTGGGCGGGGTATTCCACCAATGTCAATTAGGTCAGTTGTCTAATAGAGTGGTTCAGGTCTTCTACATCCTTACTTTCTGTCCACTTGTTCTATCAATTATTGAGAGACAAGAGTGGAAATCTCCACCCATGAATGTGGATTTGTTTCTCCTTACACTTCTGTTGGACTTTGCTTCAGGCACCTTGGAGCTCATCACTAGGTGCGTGCACATTTGGGATTGTTATATTCTGATTGTTTTCATCATTTGGCATTATGAAATGACCTTCTTTGTCCCTCATAGTATCTCTTGTTCTGAGGTCTACTTTGAGATCTTAACAACTCCAGCCCTCTTTTGATTGGTGCTTTGACAATGATTTTCAATTATATCTTTTTTTAAAAAAGATTTTATTTATTCATGAAAGACACAGAGAGGCAGAGACATAGGCAGGCAGGAGAAGCAGGCTTCCCACGGGCTCAACCACTGAGGCACTCAGGAGTCCCTCAATTACATCTTATATAGTCCTTTTTTATAGCACCCTATACTTTTCTTTATGATGGAAATGCCTTTTGGGGTTTCCCTGAAGATATATATTCACTTTTTAAAATGAGCTTTATTAAGGCACTATTTACATAGCATAAAAGTCAACAACTGTAGGCATAAAAATTTGATGACTTAGGTCGAATGTATACACAGCTGTGTACCCACCACCACACAAGACATAGGACACTTTCACCACCTCTAAATGTTCCTTCGTGTCCATTTGCAGTCAGTCGTCTCTATAGCTTTGCATTTTCTAGACTTTTATAAAATGGAATCACATAGTTTGTAGTATTTTGTGTCTGGCTTCTACAACTTACCTGAGTGCTTTTAGGATGTATCCATGCTGTGTGCATCAGTGGTTCATTTCTTTCAATTGCTGAGTAGTGTTCCACTGGACATTTGGGTTAGTTCCAATTTGGGGCTATCATCACTAAAGCCACTGTAAACACTCGCATACAAATCTTTGTGTGAAGTGGAACTACTGGGTCCTATGGTAAGTTTATGTTTAACTACTGTTAAGAATCTGCCACATGGTTTTCCGAAATGGTTGTACCATTTTGCATCCCCATCATCTGCATACAGGAGTTCCAGTTGCCCCACATCCTCAACAGCACTTGGTATTCACTATCATGAATAAAACCATTTGTTCATTTTAATTTTTTGAAAGTTGTCTTCTAGTCTCTGCTTTTCTGATTTCAATTAATCCAGTTGTCTTAGTCTTTCTCTTTTATGCTGCTGGTTTAGCTCAAGAATCTGGGGAACTTTGGTTGCCCATACTTAGGAATGAAGAACTACGGTGGGGGGGTTTACTACAGTGGCTGGTATGTGTGCCCTACCTCGACTCCTGTTCTCAGTGCTCTTATAGTTTTGTTCCCTTTATGCATCTTCCCTGTCATATCAGTGGTAACTAGAGGAAGAGAAAGGGGAGTTGAGTCCACCAGCTTGAAATGGAAGCTCTCTTCATTCTTCTAATGATTTGTTTGCCATAAAGTCATAGCGTGTGGCAAAGAGCAGGTGCTTAAATATTTGTTAAATTCAACAAATTAAGAGTATTTCATTGTCTAAATATGTCAGAACTAAAATAAATCAGAACTTAAATCAACCTCACATTGTTCCATATTCAGACTGCTTATGATTTTCTTATAATTCTGCTACTACATTTAGAGTTAGCAAGATGAAAGAGATGGAACAGATGAGAGATAGAGGTGATAGAGAAATGAGAGCATGAGATGAGAGAGATGGTAGAGATGGAAAAGATGACGGTGATAGAGACAGAAAATAGAGATGGAGGTGATGTGGAAGAGATGGAGGTGGGGTAGACAGAGATGGAAGTGAGATGGATAGAGATAGAGGTAAAGTGGAAGAGATGGAGGTGATGGTGATGGAAGTGGAAATGGTTAAACTTGTGGGCAAGGAAAACATTAGTGTGGCTTCAACTCCACCTTGGCCTCTTCCCTCCATAACCCAAGGTCCAGAGCCAGTGCAGCATGGTGGTTACGAGGCAATGGGCTTAGTTCAAATTCTGGTTATACTACTCACTGCCTGTGTGACCTAGACTAGTCATTTAACCTCTCTGAGCTTCACTTTATTCATCTATAAAATGGGTATAATGATGCTCTCTCCCTTATGGGATTGCTGTGAGGATGAAAGAATTTTTTAAAGCACCTAGAACTAAGGTTGGTAAGAGTAAGTGTTCAATCGATGTCAGCTGCTGAGGCTGTGGTGAAGATTGGGAGTTGTGTGCAAGGTGTGATGCTCAAGGGGTGCCCCAAAGGGACATGTGAAATCTTTACACATTTTTCTGTTCGTATTCTATTTCCTATCCTGATTCCTCAGCAACTCCTACTCATACCATCTCTTGACTGCTACCAGCATCCACTTAGTCGTACCAATGATTGTGGGCACACATTTTTCAGAGGTTTCCTTAAGACTTCCTTTGGGTCTCCTCATCAGAGCACTAGATGCTTCAGGGACCAGAGCCAGCCCGTTGACAGGCTTGAATCCACCCCAGAAGCCCAGCCCAGCAGCATCAGGTACAGGACCTGGACAGCAGATGGAACATTCCCCAACGGACAGGTGCAGCAGCAGAAGCAGTGCTTTACCCCTCCCAAAGCAGAAATCAGCACCACCACCCACACCCACCCCACCTCCCATCCCTGCCCCAGGGAAAATCCTGACGTCTGCATTCTTGAGGCAAGGAATGCCCTGACGACACCCAGTGACCATAAGCGGAATTGCACCAGTTGAGGAGTGAAGCACTCCGCTACCTCCCAGTGGCCCTGGTTGGGATCCCGAGACTGAGGAAAACCCGCTACTGCCCACTGGACATTCTGGGGCTAGCACCTGCCGGGCCTTGTGGCCATGGGCAGAACAGCACCAACCGTAGGGGGCTAGGAGCCATGGAAGGCAGGCAGCCTCCAGGAGCACGAAAAGGCAAGGAAAGCGATTCTCCCCGAGTGTCCAGAAGAAACACAGCCCTGCCCACTCCTTGATTTGAACCCAAGGAGGTCCATCCCAGACTTAGGGCCTTCAAATCTTTGAGCCCAAATATGCAGCAGCCCAAGGTAGAGATCAGTGGGTGTGGCTTGTCTGATGGAATAAATCCCGGTAAGACTCAGAGAAGACCCACAAACTTCAAATAGTTCTTCCAGCAAAAATGCAACCAGCTGGGGCTGAAAGGGGCAGGCAGTACAAAATGCACGGCCTCAGGAACTCCAAACTCTTTTTTGCTTCCTAGGTAACACATTTCCATCTTCCTAACGTCAAAATGCTTCAGAACTGAATTAGTGATCAGAAAGTTGCCCAAATAGCGAATAATTTTCAACAAGGCAAGAGGGGAAAGCGTCCTCAGCCCTCCGAGGAAGCCAACTGAAATACCCTCTGGCACAGCACGGCAGCCTCCAAGGGACAGAATATCTAGGAGTCTCCTCCCACAATAGTGCTGATGGGACGCTGTAACACCATTCCGGGCTTCCGATCCCTGAAATGACCGCGCAAGTTCTCTCCCGCGGAGAGATTTTTTGCTTCTGCGAGCTCCAGGGCACCAGCCCTGGCTGCACTGTTCACAATGAAGGGCCCCTCCCTCCTTGCCTTCACTCTTCCCAAACTTTCCACACCGCTCCAGAGGATGCCGAAGATCGCGTTACGAGAAGACCCCCGCGACCCCAGCTACGGTGAACGCGGAACCACGGCGAAGACCAGCTGAAACCAAGCAGCCAGCGCCAGCGTAGGTCTGCGCCTGCGCTAGAACCACCGCTCCCAGGATCCTTCGCGGCCAAGTTGCCTCCCCGCTTCAGAGGCCCCAGCCACGGGATTCCGGTGGACCTGAAACGCATGTGGACAAAGCATGGTAGGAACAGATTCCGGAAGCAGAAGAGGCGGAGCCTCTCTGGGAAGTACGGTCCACAGGGGTGCGCGGGTCGCAAACCTAGCACAGAGGAAAAGATTGTGACCAGGAGCTAAATTGGGAGACTTCTGGGAAATGGAGTCCGGTGGGGCGAGGAGGTCCATACGCATGACCGGAAGTGGCGCTATTGGAGCGCGTCCTCGGGCGCGGGAGCTGGGCCTGGCGTCTGGCAGTACCTCCGACCGCAGTTTCTGAGCTCGTGATGGTAACCTGTAGCGTTCTGGGGTAGCCGGCGGCGGGTTTTTCCACACGGCCTATTGCTTGAGAGCCAGTCGGTGGTTGCGCCACGAACTCCCGAGCCGCGAGGCCTGACTGCCGCTGGGGAGACGGAGAGACCTGGCTGGACGGGCTCGACCCGAGCTCCCCAGGGCTCAGCCTCGCAGGCTCAGACTCGGCCTCTGACGGGAGAGGCAGGAGAGAGGAAGAGTCCAGCCTGGGAGCAGCCAGAGCAGGCCAGCAGAGCGCGGCTGGGGCTCAGAGAACTGCTGGGAGGCGGTGGTGCGAGGTGGGACCCAAATGCTGGAGGAAGGAGGTGAGGAGTAGTGAAAGGAGAGGTTTGCAGGAGAGCCGGCTTCTCCTTCCAGCTTGCCCACTAATGCAGCTCTGTGGCCGGGACCAGAACTCTGCGGCTCTCCTTTCCTCAAGAGGTTGAGGATGAGCCTTTTTTTGAGTAAAGCATTTTAGGATCAGGAACGTAGGAGGCGCTCAGGCCTGAATAATCTCTGAGTATCCTACTTACCCCAATCTGCTTGATGGACTGATGGTATTTATGAGTCGAGGGAAAGGGACCCCGCAAAGGAAAAATGGGACGATCCAGGGTCTCCCGTTGTTTCCGATCTTCAAAGCAGCCAGGGAGTCTCAGAACAGGAGCCTATTGGCTCCACATGGAACTGAGGGCCAGTTCAACCTAGTTGGACTGTAAAGTCCAAGAGGATAACTGGGGATTTGGAATCAGAAGGCCAGGATCCTCTCTAAGTGATGACGTACCAGTTAGGTTTTTAACTCGTGTTTCTTCATGGAGGAAAGGGTAAAAATAACGTTTCCTACCTTGCTTACCTCTAAGAACTATAAATATCAAATAAAATAATATGTGTTTGAAAGCATCTTGAACGATCAATAGAGCAAATGTATATAGAATCTTAACCACTGAGGCCTGTGCCATCCTCCTCTAGATCAAGAGGTCCCTGTATTGGTTGGTAACTCTTCAAGTGCAATTTCACATCCAGAATTTGGTGTTGTCTTCCCCCAGAGACTTGGGAACAAGCAGGATGGTTCTCATCCTCCTAGTACTCCTTTGGTAACTGCTAAAGAGGACAAGAAGGTACAATGGCGTCAGGTACAACTCAGTAACATAAGGTCTAAACTAAGACCAGTATCCAGACCTATGTAATTCTTTTTTGAGGGCTATACTACCTCTACTATTTTTTTATTATTATTAAGAGAAAACTCACATGCCATAATACTTTTAAAGTCTACAATAAAGTGGCTTTTAGTATAGTCTCAAAGTTGTGCAACCATCACCAGTACTTAATTTCACAACATTTTCATTACCCTTAAAAGAAGCCCATACCCATTTCATCAGATCAAACCCGGAATGGGGCTCTGTGCTGAGCGTGGAGCTGCTTAAGATTCTCTTCCTCTGCCTCTCCTCCCCGCCCCCATCTGCGTGTTTGCACACTTTTTTTTTTTAAAGATTTATTTATTCATGAGAAACACAGGCAGAGGGAGAAGCAGCCTCCATGCAGGGAGCCCGACATGGGACTCCATCCCGGGTCTCCAGTTTCACACCCCGGGCTGCAGGCAGCGCTAAACCGCTGTGCCACCGGGGCTGCCCTGCACACTCTGTCTTAAAAAAAAGAAAAAAAAAAAAGCCCATACCCATTAACCATCACTCCCTCATTCCCTCTAACCCCTAGTCTCTCTGGATTTCTACTTAATGTTCAAGGATTTGCCTATTCTGGACATTTCATAAAAATAGAATCATAGAATATATGTGTCTGGCTTCTTTCATTTAAAATAATGTTTCAAGGTATCTATGTTGTAACATGGATGAATGTACTTCATTCCTTTTTATGGCTGAATAATATTTCATTGTGTGGATATACCACATATTGTTCCTCAGTTGTGAGGATTTGGGTGGCTTCCAGTATTGGCTATTGTGAATAATGCTGCTGTGAATATGTGTGCACATATTTTTGTGTGGACGTGTTTTCATTTCTCTTGTTTGTGTAACTAGGAGAGGAACTGCAAGGTCATATGGTACTTCTGTTTAACTTTCTGAAAACCTGCCACATTGTTTTCCCTAGTGACTGAGGCCTTTCACAATCCTAGTAGCAATGTACAAGGGTTCTTTTTCTCCACATCCTCATCAAGACTTGTTTTCCATCTTTATTTTAGCCATTTTAGTGAATGTGAAGTATCTCATATTTATTTGATGTGCACTTTCAAATGACTAGTGATATGAACATCTTTTCGTGTACTTACTAGCTCTTTGTACATCTTTCTTGAAGAAATCTATTCACATCCTTTGCCGCTTTTTAATTGGGTGATTTGTCTTTTGTTTCTGAGTTGTAAAAATTCTTTAAATATTCTGGATCCTAGACCCTTAAAAGATAGATGATTTGCAGACATCTTCTCCCATTCTGTGGTTATCTTTTGACTTTCTTGATAGTCTCCTTTGAAGCACAAAGTTTTTAATTTTGGTGAAATTCGGTTTATTTTTTGTAATTTGTGCTTTTGGTTTCATAGCTATGAAACCCATTGCCTAATCAGAGGTAATAAAAATTAATACCTAAGTTTTCTTTTTTTAAAGATTTTATTTATTTATTCGCAAGGACACAGAGAGAGAGAGGCAGAGACACAGGCAGAGGGAGAAGCAGGCATCATACAGAGAGCCTGACGTGGGACTCCATCCAGGGTCTCCAGGATCACGCCCTGGGCTGCAGGCGGCGCTAAACCGCTGCGCCACCGGGGCTGCCCCCTAAGTTTTCTTCTAGGTGTTTTAGCTTTTATAATTAAGTCTTTGATCTAGGGATGCCTGGGTGGCTCAGTGGTTGAGCATCTGCCTTTGGCTCAGGGCGTGATCCTGGTCCGGGGATCTCTCTGCCTATGTCTCTGCCTCTTTCTCTGTGTCTCTCATGAATAAATAAATAAAATCTTTTTAAAAAAATATGTCTTTCATCTATTTTGAGTTAATTTTTACATGTGGTGTGAGATAAGAGTCCATTTGTCCTAGCACCTTCTTTTTGAAAACTCTCCCCCATTTAATTCTTGGGTGGGACTCATGTTGAAAATCATTGTCCAAAAATATATGGATCTATTTCTGGACTCTCCATTCTTTTTTTTTTTTTTTAAATATTTTTTTAATTTTTATTTATTTATTTATGATAGTCACACAGAGAGAGAGAGAGAGAGAGAGGCAGAAACACAGGCAGAGGGAGAAGCAGGCTCCATGCACCAGGAGCCCAACGTGGGATTCGATCCCGGGTCTCCAGGATCACGCCCTGGGCCAAAGGCAGGCGCCAAACCGCTGCGCCACCCAGGGATCCCTGGACTCTCCATTCTTTTCCATTGATCTGTATTTCAATCCTTATACCAGTACCAAACTATTTTATTTTTTTTATTATTATTTTTTTTTAGATTTTATTTATTTATCCATGAGAGACACACAGAGAGAGAGGCAGAGACGTAGGCAGAGGGAGAAGCGTGGGATGTGGGACTCAATCCCGGGACTCCAGGATCACTGCCTGAGCCGAAGGCAGACACATAACCACTGAGCCACCCAGGTGTCCCAACCAAACTATTTTAATTACTGTTGCTTGGTACAAGGTTTTGATAGTGTGAATGTGAGTTCTCCAACTTGTCCTTTTTCCAGATTGTTTGGCTCTTCTTAGTCGCTTGCATTTCTAGATGAATTTTAGGATCAGCTTAATCAATTCCTACTTAAAAGTCTGCTGGTATTTTGATAGGGATTACATTGACTCTGTAGATTAATTTGGTGAGTACTGCCATAGCAGCATTACTGTCTTCCAATCCATGAATCCATAGGATGTCTTTCCATTTATGTAGATCTTCTGTAATTTCAATAGTGTTTGGTAGCTTTCAGTGTACATGTTTTACATTTCCTTTGTTAAATTTATTCTTAAGTATTTTGTTCTTTTAATGCTCTTGCAAATGGAATTGAGGTTTTTTTTTTTATTTCACTCTTGAATTGCTCATTGCTAGTGTATAGAAATACAGTTGGAGAAATGTCTGTTCAAATCCTTTGCCCAAACTTACTTGGGTTGTCTTTTCATTATATATCCACCTTGTATCTTGCAACTTTGCTGAACTTATTTAGCTGTCATAGGATTTTTTTGGTGGATTCCTTAAGATTTTCTCCTCCTCCTCTTCTTCTTCTTCCTCTTCTTTTTATTTACTTTTTCTTTTTTAGCAAGTCTGTTTTTATTTTTTAAGTAGGCTCCATACCCATAGTGAGACTTGAACAACCCTGAGATGAAGAGTCACATGCTCTACCGCCTGAGCTAGCCAGGCGCCCTCCTTAAGATTTTACATATACAAAATCATATCTACAAATACTGATAATTGTACTTCTTCCTTTCCAATCCAGATGCCTTTCCCCCCCCTTCCTAATTTTCCTCACTAGAACCTCCAGTATAATACTGAATAGAAGTGGTGAGAGCAGATATCCTTGTCTTGTTCCTGATCTTAGGGGAAAGGATCAGTTCTTCACTGTTAAGTATGATGTAAATCTGGGTTTTCTGTAGTTGCCTTTTGCCAGGTTGAGGACGGTCTCTTCTCTTCCTAGTTTAATTGAATGGGTATTACCAGGAAAGGGTGACAGATTTTGCAAAATGGCCTTTTTAGTGTTCACTGAAATGCTCTTTGTGGAGTCTTTTCCTTTTTATTACCTTGGTATATAATACAGATTAATTGTTCTGTGTTGAACTAATCTTGCATCCCTGCAATGAATCCCACTTGGTCATTACCTCTCTTGATTTGGCAAATGTCCTAAATCTCCAAATGAACTCAGCAGCAGTAGGTAATAGTTGTAAACTACGTACTTACACTTCAGGCATTGTACCAACTGCTTTGTCTGCATTTTTCATTCATCTTCCCAGCAACTTTACGAGGGATTATCATTCCCATTTACAGATGAGAAAAATGAGACTTGGAAAGGTTATAGGATTTGCACACTGCTAGTAAATAGGGGAGCTCTGCTACTTGAGAGTCTGTTAGTCTAATGACTCCCTGTGTCTGAGTGAATTGATGGGATTTCTGAAGTAAGAAGGGGAATGGGGAAATGTGTAGCCTCTGGCAGGTCTGCAGATTCAGCCCCATTGCCCTGTAACCGGCAATGTCCTCGGAACCCCCTTCTTCAAAATGAGAATATAAAACTCTCTAGCTTGACGAGCTGTAACTTGTGAGCTTCATTGGTTTCTCCCCCTTTCTCCAGAGCCACCTTCTCCAGACCCTGCCCTTCCCCAAGAGGAAACCATAGAAAATGAAGGAATGGCAGCTAGTCTCACAGTTGGAGCCCAGGTAAGTTCTAAATTTCCTCTGAGAGGCAGCCCCCCCCCTTTTTTTAATATTAAGGAGTTTTTTTGTTTTTTAATTACAAAAGAAATTCATGTTTATTGTAGAAAACACACCCAAAAACTCATCCTTATTCCCATAGAGAAATGATACACTTAAACATTTTCATTTGCATCTTTTCAGTCATATTCTTCTTTTCTTTTTCGGTGGGGTGGGGGGGAGGGGGTTATTTTTTTAAAGATTTTATTTTTAGGGCAGCCTGGGTGGCTCAGCGATTTAGCGCCGCCTTCGGCCCGAGCGTGATCATGGAGACCTGGGATCAAGTACCATGTCGGGCTCCCTGCATGGAGCCTGCTTTTCCCTCTGCCTGTGTCTCTGCCTCTCTCTCTCTGTGTGTCTCTCATGAATAAATAAAATCTTAAAAAAAAAAAAAGATTTTATTTTTAAGTAATCTCCACACCCAACATGGGGCTTGAACTCAGAACACCGAGATGGAGTCACATACCTCACCAGCTGAGCCAGCCAGGCATCCCCATATTTTTCCTTCTCTACTTTTCCAAAATGGTTTTGTCCTCCTTTTAACCTTCTTTTATTTCCACTTCGCAAAATGTGATGAATATTTCTCCCATTTCTATTAAGAGTATTCTACAGAATCATTTCTAGTGTATTCCATTGCATAGTCCCACCAGGATAGGAACTGTCTTCTCCCCCTTTTTCCACATTAGACTAGGTATTGGTCTGTTTCTTTTCCTTTTCAGAAAGTTTGTGCTTGGATTTTTCTCATCAGTTCTCTTAGTCACAGATTTTTCTTTCTTAATTATTTGCTTTTACGTTTGTCAGATTTATTTTAAAATTCAATCTTTTATAACCTCTTGAGTTGAATTTCTAATTTATTTCCTTCCATTCTTGTTTATATTGAAAGTGTTCGGATCTTATTTTCTTAGACACTCCAAAATTGTCACTTTGGTTTTTCTGTCTGCTCATTCAGCCTGCCTGTGCTCCAGGGGACAGTGTGACTTTTGCCAACCCAGAGCAGCCAGTTATAGCATAAAGGCAGAACGCGGGGTTTGATGGCGATATTAGTTCAATCTTATTTATTAAATTGCTCAGTTCTTCATACCTGTGTTTTGTTTTTTATTATGTATTAACCCTGAGTTATTTTAACATCTCATAGCTGTAGTATTTTACGTTTCTTCTCATACTTCCTACAGGTTTTTCTTTGTGAATTACATACCATTTCTTATGTAGTTCATGACACTTACATCTTTATGGTGGCTTTTACTCTCTTGCCTGTCATAACATGACCCAAATGTTTTAAATATTTCATAGTTTTCAAAGATGACCCTCTTGTCCTGTTGTACTGCATTTCTCAGTATAAAGGCTGGATTGGAAGAACAGGTAAAATTAGAGATGGTAATTTGGAAAATGATGCTGGCTTCAAAGAAGGCAGTGACAGGGCCGTGGAGAGACATGTGTGAACTTTCATGATACTGTGGAGGAAGATGAAGGCAGCAGTGGTCTGTGAGGAGCTGCAGGAGAGGGGAGGGTGACCTTCAGGTCTCTGACGTGGCCCATGAGATGGGTGGAGGTACCATTACTTGCACAGAAAACAGACGCAAGGACCTTCTCTCCTCTGTGCCTGTGCTCTTGGGGCGTCCCCTGCCTCAGATAACCTATTTCTCCATCTGACCACCTTTCTTCCAGGCCAGCTCAGCAATCACCTTCTCTCTGTGGTCTTCGTCCATCCTCCATGCAGGATTCCTTCTCTGTTATCCTGGCAGCTGGTCTGCCCATTTCACTGACATGTTATTGCAGGTGGCCACCTACATGGCTGCCTTCCTTGTTGTACTGTGTCATATCGAGGTTCACAGGAATACTTGTGAAACACTCTGAAAAGTTGAGCTTTCACATTTCCTTCTGATAGCTCGTTGCATAAACTTAGACATTCTAATTTTATTTTGTCTACATGGGCTCTTTTCGTTCCCAAGCACTGGTGTCCGGTTCCTTCTTTTACATAGAAGTAGCTGTATGTGTGTTCTCTATATATAAAGTCTGAGAGAGTTGTAAACACAAAAAGAGACTGTATCTGTTTTTTGTGTGTGTGTCAGTATCCAGTTTAGTGTCAGGCACATAGGAAGTGATCAGTAAATGCTTCTCTTGAGCTGTGCAGTCCTCTGTGGTATCCTCTGGCCTGCAGGTGAGAAGGAATGTGCTTATTGTTTTAGGGAACCATGCCCTTTGGCACCATGACTGCAGCTCTGACCCACCATGGCTGGAGACCCTTGATCCCTGCTCCAAGGGGAACTCCAAGGTTCAAGGAAGGGATACCAGAAAATGTCAGGAATCTGGTCCTGCTGGGTAAGGAAGCCATTTGAAATGTAGAATCTACTCAGGTCTGAATATCTGTGGCACTTCCCAGGGTTGAGTGATCCCGAGTTGCTCCAACACACTGGAGGGATGATGTTTCTTCCCAGTTCCCTATAGTAAAAGGCCTCTGCATTCTGAATTGAGAAATAGGCAGTTTCATTTTGCTCCCTGCAAGACTGCAGCTCCGTGTTTTCTTATTTCCAGGAGGGGTGGTGTGACCTTCAGGCCAGCTCCTCCTTATTCAATAAGTTCTGTTTTTCTAAATAACTTGCTTTTGGGGCTTAACACCCCAGCCTGTCCCCAGCCTGGCATCTCATCTGTCTTAATTACTGCTACATCCCCAGTGCCTGGGACCAAGTACAGTATTCAATAAATATTTGCTGAATGAATGAAATAAATGACCTAACTGGTTTGCTTCCCCCTCCCCTGAGTTCTGGGTGGCTATTTAATCTAAATTTCTATAGCACTTGTTATGCCCTTGACCAGGACTTCCGGTTTCCCAGCCTGGCATGAACTCCCAGTCGGAACAAAGGGAAGAAGGCCCATGGATGCTGGAAGGAGGAGGCCTAAGGAGTACCTGTCCCGGTAAGTGAACAAGCACTAAAACCAGTGAGTCTTGAGAGCAAAAGCCTTTTGGAAATAACACATTGTGCGTTTGGTTATTTTAACAACCCCACATTTTACAGATGAGGAAACTAAAGCTGAAAGAGGCTGTCTTGCTGGTTCAGAGCCTCACAGCTAGAAAGTAGTGTGGCTGGGGTTCAAAACAAGGTCTGGCTGATTCCATAACTCCTCCTGGCATGTTGGGGGGTGTTTGGGACCTGGGCTGGGGATGTTTAGGACCATAGGTGGTGGTGCTGGCCTCTGAGAGAATGGCCTCTTTGCTGGCCCAGCACGTTCTCTGCTTGGAGTTCACCTCACTGAGGCTCTCAGGTGCACTCTTTTGCCCATACCTCCAGCTGTGACACCTACTGCTACTCCCCTCTCTGGTCCTTAATTGGATCCTCTCTCTCCCCACATTCCCTCCCCACCTTCTCTACATTGTAGACCCTGCTAGAATTTCCTAAAGGGCTGATATTGATAACCTCAGGAAAGATAAAAGGGAAGCCATAGTTGCTGTGTTTATCCGTTGCTTCTCATCCAAGGCTGCTCACTGCACCCCCACCCTCATGCTCTGGCCCCTGTGGATATGTGACCTCTGGCAGTGCCTCAGTAACTTTCCTGGGGTTCCAGCCACTTTTGAAATTTTGAGGCTTAAAGCATCAGAAGTGTAAATGAACCTAATAACTTTAAGGTGATAAAGCTTTAAATTTGTTTAAAAACAGCCTAGTGCTTTACATCTTCATTTCTTATTATTGTTGCTGCAGGGCAGTGAAAACAAAGCCTCTGGTAGGTTTTCTGCACGTTGATCAGAACTTTCTCCTTCCCATCTTACTGTCCTCTTTCTAAACAGCCTGTCACACATTCCCTCATCCCTGTTGTTAGCCAGGCACCGCTCAGACTTGCTGAAATATTGCCTTTATAGGAGCCTCAGTGGTCCTGCTGCTTCCTTCTCAAGGCCCTGCTGCCCGCATCATGCACAGCCTTTTATTCTAGGCTCTACACCCTTGTATAGAACTTCAGAGATGGAATGTGTTGTTACATGGCTAGCGCAGTGGCTGCATTTTTCTGGAAAAAGTTTTCATCACAGCTTCAGAGTTTCAAGACTCTAAAAAGGTCAGATCAGCACGTTACTAGAAACAGAACTTAAGAAGGGGTGTTTGCACCAAGGGTCCACGCTGTGAGGTATTAGAATTTTGGTATAAATTTGGCAGGTTTGGATGTGGACCTGTGAAAGATGGGCTTTCAGGTCCTGGCTTGCTATTTACGAACCACACAGACTCAGACTAAACCACTAAATTATGTGGTCGCTTGTCTCTATCAAAAAATGTAGATAACAAAATCTTATTTTACAAACTAATATGCATGAAAAAAAGTTATCAGTGATGGAGTTCTGTATTAGCTATATGATCGTTCAGTAGTTTAAGGAAAGTTTAAATCTGGCTGTTGGAGTAATTAATACCCTGCTTCCATGGGGTTGCATCTCTGCCTTGAGATTCACAGAGCAACCTGGGCCTTGCTCTTCCGCCACGGACTGGTTTCAGAGCCCTCCGTCACCCCATCCCATCCTGGCCACGATGGCAGACCTGGGTCTTTAAAGTACCTTTCACCTCACTGCCTGCTCTAAGAGCTTCTGCTGTGGGTGTTGACATGTCCCCAGGCACAGCTGCTCAATTTGCCTTTCTTCTTTTTTTTTTTTTTTTTTTTTTTAAAGATTTTATTTATTCATGAGAGAGAGAGGCAGAGGCACAGGCAGACTCCATGCAGGGAGCCTGATGTGGGACCCAGTCCCCAGGATCAGGCCCTGGGCTAAAGGCAGCGCTAGACCACTGAGCCACCCAGGCTGCCCAATTTGCCTTTTTCTCATTGAATTTGTTACTCATTCAGTCAACAAATAAGCATTAAGCATTTGGTAAATGCCTGGAATTGCTTTAGTTACTGAAGGTACAACAGAGAACAAGACATAGTCTCTGCTTACATCCTGCGATGTCAGGAACATAAATGGATAAATAAAATTACTGATACAATGTGAGATGGTGAGGCGTGCTGTGAAGGAAAGCAGGATAAGAGAATAGTGACGGGGTACAAAGGTGAGAACGGGAATACAGATGGAGGTGGGGGGGCTCTTGTAAGTCAGATGACTAGGAAAGCCTCTTCGGAGAAGGTGACATTGGAGCTGAGGTCTGAAAGTCGAGAATGAGCCAGCCGTGTAAATGTCTGGGAGAGAAACGATCTGGGACACAGCATGTGCTGAAGCTCTGAGTTGTGGATGAGCTTGACTTGAAACCCCTAGGACTTAGTAAGCAGAGGGAGAGTGAGTGGCAGGGAACACAGCATGCAGGACTTTAGAGGCCATGTGAGGTGTTCAGATTTTCTTCACATACTAAGATAAGCCCTCAGGGCTCTGAGCAGGGAGGGGACAATACTTGATATGTGTTTTAAAATTGCATGTGAAGAATAAGACTTCCAAGGTTCAAGAGTAAGAGCCTGGAGATCAGTTAGGAGTCTGCTGCTGAGATTCCAGGGAGACGGGGTAGCAGGTAGGAAGGATTCAGGACATGTGAGGTATTAAAACCAATAGGATGTGCTAGTGAACTGGATGTGAGGGGGTAGGGGCATAAGGATGACTGTAGCCTGAGCAGAATGCTGAGCAGACACTGGCTTGAAAGGGAGATTCAGTTCTGTTTGGGGCACATTTGAACTCCTTAGTCTCCTACAGGAGCCAGGTGGAGAGGAGGTGGGCTGAGGGAGAACAATTCAGGAGCACCAGTTTCCTGAATTGCTCCTTTCTCCCTCCACTGCTTTCCATCTTTTCTCCAATAGATGGTCAAGTTGTAGAAGCTGTCAAAGCCACACATGATCAAATACTGTACTACAGGGGATCCCTGGGTGGCTCAGCGGTTTAGCGCCTGCCTTCAGCCAGGGCATAATCCTGGGGTCCCAGGATCAAGTCCTGCATCGGGCTCCCTGCATGGAGCCTGCTTCTCCCTGTCTTGTCTCTCATGAATAAATAAAATCTTAAAAAAAAAAAAAATACTGAACTACATGGAGATACCCTGAACCCAAAATGGGGACTCCTGTGCTTATGGTAGATTGAGCATTAATACACAAGTGCTCTGGAGGGAAATCTGCTGTATGGGAAACCATTTAAGAAGGTTCACAAGGAAAGCCTGAGATAATGACAAGCACTCATCTAACATTTAACTGTCCCTCAGGGTACCATTTCGGTCCCTTATGTGTTTTAACTCCTGTAATCCTCGCAGCAATTCTGTGAAAGCTACATTTGCAGGTAATAAATCTATAAAAATTTGCCCACAATCACATAGCTAGTAAGAGGTGGAGCCAAGATTTAAACCCAAACTATCTGGGACGCCGGGGTGACTCAGCCGTTGAGTGTCTGCCTTCGGCTCAAGTTGCGATCCTGGTCCTTGGATCGAGTTCTGCATTAGGCTCCTTGCGAGGAGCCTGCTTCTCCTTCTGCCTATGTTTCTGCCTCTCTGTATCTCTGAGTAAATAAAATCTTTAAAAAATAATAAACCCAAGCTATCTGGGTCAAGACTCCATATAGAAATTCAAATAAAGGTTACCCAGAACTAACCTTGTTATTCTCTCCTCTGAGAGAAAAGATAGAAGCCCAAAGAATCTTCAGGAAAATTGACCCTTGTGAAAAGCAGGAAAAAAAAAAAAAAAAAGAAAAGCAGGGAAGAGCTCTGTAACCATCCCTGAAACTTCACCCCCTACGTACAAGCCCCGGTGTCCAAGACAAAGCTCCATGGACTTTATGTTTTAGTTTCCAAATATACATTAGTCACATTTTAAAGTTTTCTCTTAAAATGAGGGTGATCCCAAAAAGGGTTAAGAATTATTCTTTTAAAAAAGACCAATTTTCTGATCATAAAAGCAATGTTATTTATTCTATGTAAAGTAACTTTTTTTCTAGTGAAAAAGATGTTAATTTGAGATTTGGAACAGGATAAAAATCAAGGTCCCCTATCATCCCACCACATAGATAGAGGTCCCTTGCATCTTCTTCATACAATAAAATGCAGTGATACATCTTTTTGTTTTCTAAAGATTTTTTTTTTTTTACAAAATCTTTACACCCCCCCAAGTGAGGTTCAAACTCATGACCCTGAGATCAAGGGTCACAAGCTCAAGTGACTGAGTCAGCCAGAGGCCCCATAATGAGAAGGCTCAGACCAGAGCTTGCGATACATTTTTCTGAAGTAGAAGTGTTAAGTTTACACGCTCCTTTTTTCATTTAGCAGTTATGTTTGTTTTTTTAGTTATGTTTCTTTTTATCACTGCATATTCTTTGAAAGGTTTTTGTAACTTTTATTATAATACTGACAGTGGAGAACATTAGAAAATACAGATAAGCATTGAAGGAAATAAAAATGCCCCTGATGCCACTATCCAGACAACATAGCTTGCATTCACACCGTGTATCTTCGCAGTGTTTTCTCAATAAATACCTTTCTGCAGAAGGAACTAGAGTGTACCCATTAGAAACATGACCTCTGATTGCTAAATAATAATATTGGCCATAGTGTGGTCGTTCCTTTACTAAACATTTAGGTGTTTGCTTTTCTTCGGCAAATGATGCTGTGAGTACTTTTGTCAACACAGATTTGTGTAATTTCTCATTAATTCCTTAGGATAAATTCTTACAGGTGCAGTCCTCATGTTGGCATTTTAGACTCTTTAACACACGCAGCCAGATTGCTATCCAGAAAGGTTGTACAGGTATGTACGATCTTAGAATGCTGCACCCCTACCAGTACTCTAGAATTAACCAGTTTGGGGCTGATTTGATGGGTGAAAAAATTCATCTGGCTGGCATTGATCTGGCTGCATTGATCATGAGCTTTATAAAGTGAATTATTTAAACCTGGTAAGCTGATTGCTCAAAACCACACCAAGAATTTTGAGACTAAGAAGGCAAGTGGAAAATCCCCAGTACTTGCCAAAGCAGAGCAAAGGCAGAAATAAGGAAGGGAGCAGTGCATCTGAGGGCAATTAGGTAAACTTCTGTATCCCTTGCAGCTTAGGAAAGGGACTAAACCGTCCTAATGTATCTGAAGAGCCATCTTGGTCAGTATTTACAGTTTAGAACTGAAATGTGGGGCAGCTGTTCTGGGTGAAAGGGGTGGAGCATCAGACCTCCTCTGCACCAGAGCTTGGCCAAACTCCATCAGCCTTTTGTATTTCAGTAGTACCTTTTCTTCCACCAAAGGGGGAAAATGCTTTTCTAAATATTTTTCAGACTGGAAGATTATGTCTGAATCACCATCTGAGCCTGACATTTCTGAAGACTCATCCCAAGACACAAATATAGAGCTGCCCCCTGGGGAGTCAGATCACAGGAACAGCGACCTGGGGAAGAGCTTCAACCTAAGACCAGTCCTTTCTCCACAACAGAGAGTTCCTACAGAAGTGAGACCCCAGAAATGGGAAACACATACAAGGAGCTTCAAAAAGAATTCCCCTATAATTAAGCCCCACAGAGCCAAACCATATACATGTAGTGAATGTGGCAAAGCCTTCAGTTATTGTTCTTCCCTGTCTCAGCATCAGAAGAGTCACACTGGGGAGAAACCCTATGAGTGCAATGAATGTGGGAAAGCTTTCAGCCAGAGCTCATCTCTCATTCAGCACCAGAGGATTCACACTGGAGAGAAACCTTACAAATGCAACGAATGTGGAAGAGCCTTCAGCCAGAATGCAAACCTCACAAAACACCAGCGAACTCATACTGGAGAAAAGCCCTACAAATGTAGCGAGTGTGAGAAAGCCTTCAGTGACTGTTCAGCCCTTGTTCAGCATCAGAGAATTCACACTGGAGAAAAACCCTATGAGTGCAGTGACTGCGGGAAGGCCTTCCGTCACAGCGCAAATCTTACAAACCACCAGAGGACCCACACAGGGGAAAAGCCGTACAAGTGCAGCGAGTGTGGGAAGGCCTTCAGTTACTGTGCCGCATTTATTCAGCATCAGAGAATCCACACCGGGGAGAAACCCTATAAGTGTGGTGCATGTGGGAAGGCCTTCAGCCAGAGTGCAAACCTCACAAATCATCAGAGGACTCACACAGGAGAGAAACCCTACAAGTGCAGCGAGTGTGGGAAGGCCTTCAGCCAAAGCACTAATCTCATAATCCACCAGAAGACCCACACTGGGGAAAAGCCATATAAATGTAACGAGTGTGGGAAATTTTTCAGTGAGAGCTCAGCCCTTATTCGCCATCATATAATCCACACAGGAGAGAAACCCTATGAGTGCAATGAGTGTGGGAAGGCGTTTAACCAGAGCTCTTCCCTCAGTCAGCACCAGAGGATTCACACTGGTGTGAAGCCCTATGAATGTAGGGAGTGTGGGAAGGCCTTCAGGTGTAGCTCCGCTTTCATTAGACACCAGAGACTCCATGCTGGGGAGTAGCCAGAAATAGGACCAAGGTGGGTGGGGAATCTAGCAGGACATGCAAGTAGTTTAAAAACATCTAGAGACCTCCTTGGACTTTTACAGTCTGTAACTCAGCCACATGCGGGAGTACCTTTAATAAATAGTCCTGATTTTACATGTTGCATGTGGAGTGGAAAATCTCAGGAGCTCTTCTCTCAGCTCTCAGTAAGCATCAACAACCAACTCAGATTATACTGGAAATATACCTTTATTCAGTGACCCAAAGTGCTTTTTGTAGATCAAGCCCTGCAGAAACCATGGTTTATAAGGAGTAAGTGATCAAGGAGCGAAGGGCTTAGTTCCTTCTTAAAGACCAGGAATGAAGCCAACACTGGACAGGAATGACATTTCTCCCTAATGGGGGTGTGTGTGTGTGGTGGTAATTCAAATGAGGAAAGATTCCACATGCTAGTCTCATCAGGGATAGGGAAGGGATATCCACTCTAATGCTCTATATAGGAAAATCTAGACCCTGCTAGGCCCAGTCTCTACTTTGTGAGATGTTTGAGTGTTTGAGTGTTCACTACTGTATAAAGAAAACACCCAGGGCTTGCTTCAGCAGCACACGTACTAAAATTGGAATATTAGCATGGCCCCTGCACAAGGACACACAATTCATGAAGTATGCTGTATTTAAAAAAAAAAAAAAAAACAGAAGAGAACAGGCTGAGCCAATGAAATCCCTCAGTAAGGCACACACCTCTGTAGACTCATAGGACAATCTGAGGCCTTTCCCTGGCTCAGGCCAGTGGGTCCTTTCTCTGCCTAGTGAAGTTTCCTTTAGAGTAATTTTTTTTTTTTAAGATTTTATTTATTAATGAGAGAGGCAGAGACACAGGCAGAGGGAGAAGCAGGCTCCATGCAGGGAGCCCAATGTGGGACTCTATCCCAGGTCTCCAGGATCAGGCCCTGGGCTGAAGGCGGCACTAAACTGCTGAGCCACCCGGGCTGCCCTAGAGTAAGATTTTCATTGGCCTTTCTCCCTTTCCCAGTCCTGGGTTTTGCCTTTGACATCTCTTCATACATAACTGGCATGACTTCATCTCAGCAGTAAACCCTTGTGACTTGGGGTTAGGTAAACATTGGACTTGGAAGTCAGACTCAACTTCATTGACCAAGGCCTTTGACTTTGGTTTCTTGGTGACTTAGCACAGGTCCTAGAAGGTTTATCCTTCCCACTACAGTTCTCCAACCCTACTTGTACGGGGTGGGGGTTAAAACTCACCTAACTTTAGAGGCCTATTAACAAAATTATATACAGCATGTCAAGGAAACTAAGTTCTTGGGTTAATTGTTCCTAAATTCCTCCCTCTCCCCTCTACCCTGTAGCCCCTCTAAGCTGCTCAGGTATAGCTTGCCCCAGTACCCAGGTATCTTGGTTCATCCCTTCACTCACACTAAAAGGAGTCATGAACTAGAGTCAAAAAGGACTAGAACTAAGGAAAGAGGACAGACTCAGGAAAGGCAAAAACATGCCTTTAGAAAATAACCCTTAAGGGCTGACACCAAGGTCAGGTTCCTTTATTTTCCACCAGTGCTTCTGAAGCCTGGCTATACATTAGAACAAACTGAAGTCTTGCACTGAGGGCCACAGGACATTAGCCCACTCGAGAATTAAACTGGTCTGGGATAAACTCCTTGCCATGTATTCATACTGAGGTACAAGTTTTCTTTTTGGCAAAGTATTTTGTAAAGTGTGTATCTGTGTCCTACAAAAAGCACTGAAACTTACTTTCTAGGTGTCTTCTCTCTAGTTCCATACAGGACAGCAATCTGTCACCCAGGAGGAGCTTGTTACCCAAACGGCTCCTTCTATAGGTTCTGCCACCCTGGCACCACAGAGGAGCTAGCCTCCCCAAGCAAGAGGCCACATCAAAAGGTCCACTGGTTGTCAAATGATCCTTTATTGAAATATTTTCCTTTGTAGTTAACTCTGTGGGAAAGAAAAAAATGTGTCAGTAGGACAAAAAAAAAAATCTTATAGCCCAAACCCACTACGGACCATTTCTATTTAGAACTAGTCCAGCCTCTCTATGCATACTTTAGCCTTCCTCCGGCTCTTACCCTGTTTAGGTGGCAAATGAAACAGAAGTCACTCACCGCTGGGCACTCCACTGCACCACTATTGATGTCATCTATGATATCATGAGGGTGACGGCCATCAACATTGCAGCCCACAGACTGGGCAGTCCCCAGGATCTCTTTAATGGTTCCTATAATTAAGAAAAGTTGCCATCAGAGGGACTGCAATCCCTCAGTCCTTGTATACCATGGGGAAATACCATGGGGAGTTTCATCGCAGGTAAGGAGGAATTAACCCTATTTTATGGAGTGACATCTCTGCTGCTCTAATCCACAATTCAGAACTCGATTTAGATATGTAAGTTCTTAATGCAAAGACTCCATGGGTCCCTTGATACCCAGATTTAAACACATCCAGCCCCAAATATTCACCGATGTCAATCCATTTCTTCAAACCCACAAGACCCTGCACCCCAACTACAGCTTACATCCCTTCAAACTGGGAAATTCTACCCTTGGTGAATACACCCCGTATAACAATTAAGGTGGTTCCATGTTGTCCACTTACCAGAAAGTTCTCTGGCTAAAGATCGGTGTCGCATCTGTCGGGCAATATTGACAATCTCATCAAAAGTGATATTTCCACTGTGCTTAACTGCAGAAAAGAAAAACAGCGTAAGTTCTATCACAACCCAAGGCCAGAGCAGACCATGTAATATGCTGCCTCATTTTAATTTCCAGGCTGTTCCCATGCTTTCGGCACAGAGTCATCCACATGAAGAACAACCCTGTTTCCTAAGCTGGGGTTTACTATCAGCTCACCACTGGACTGCACCAGCCAACAGAAAACTGATCAGGTGCAGTGGCGGGTGGCTGGGGCAAAATCAAGTCTTTGCTAATCTTACACAGACACATAAGACTATCATTTTTGTTTTTTAAGATTTTATTTATTCATGACAGAGAGAAGCAGGTTCCACTCACGGAGCCTGACGTGGGACTGGATCCTGGGTCTCCAGGATCATACCCCAGACTGAAGGCAGCACCAAACTGCTGGGCCATTGGGGCTGCCCAGACTAAACATGAAAAAAAGACAAGTTTATTTTACTGGGCCCAAGCTGTTCAGAGCATTACCCAGCTCAGAAGTGATCGGTTTCTGGTTATCATTATCCCACATTCTACTCGATTACTATTTCCCTCCTGCATACAGAGTACGGCCAGCCCCCTACTAGGGATTGGGGAGAGCCACGTGACACTTCTTGGTAGTGCCTGGCTCTCCAACAGCTTATCAGATCCCTCTGCCACCCCTAGGTTTTGTTCAAGGGAACACATGCAGCTAAGTTATCACTGGGTAGACACCACTCACAAATTACCAGGGAAAAGGCCACTCACTGTTTTTCTGCTTCTTTCTGTCTCTTGGTGGTTCCTTGAGGGCTTTGATAATCAGGGCAGAGGCAGAAGGTACCACTTCAATCTGCAGAAGAGATTCTCCATTGAATGAGCTCTACTCCACCTTACAGTGAGGACAGTCAATACTGCCATGCAACATGGCTCTCAAAAAACAGGCCACACTGGAGTTGCTGTGCATTCTCAGTTATTTTCACAATCTAAAACATGTCTAAGCCTAAGAGACACAAAGTGATTTACCCGATGTCACACAAGTGACAAGAGCTAATATTTGAGTCCACATCCTTGCTCTTTCTTGATCCATGCTCTCAAGAGCCTTCCCCACATTTAAAATTGCCCTCAGCTCACCACTGGGGTCAGGTGGCAAAAACCTTCCACCCAGGAATCCCAAAGGGTTGCTACCTCTACCCTCCCCCTCAAACCAAGTACCTGGGCCTGTCTGTTCTGAATGGTCAGTTTCACTGTAATCCTTAGACCCTTCCAATCACCGGTTGCCTTGGCGATGTCATCACCAACCTTTTTTGGAGACTATAGAAAGAAAATTATTTATCACACTGTGCGCTAAGTTTAAGTACAGTCTGAAAAACCCATCCCTCTCACTTGGCAACACCCCAAACCTTCCTTATCCAATTGAGCACACAGGGCGCTGTTTAAAGCCAAGTGCACATACCAAATCAAGGCATAGCTATTGCAGCAGTATACACTGGGGAGATGAAGCTAGGGGTTAAGTTTGTTTGGGGCTGTAGGCCCAGGGTCATAAGATGGCAAAGTCCCTTACTTACCTACCCTCCCATAAGAAACCATGTGATAACATGGGAATGTCCAACCCTGGTTACATTCAAATCACCAGGAGAATCTTAAAAACAACAGGTTTCTGCAAGGATGGGATCTGGGCAAGTACTAGACTTCCTAATGACCATCAGCCTAAGGAGGAAAGCTGTTCAGCTGGTGCCAGCTAAGCTGAGAGCCAAGGACCAGCAGTAAAGAAGGCACTGGTTAGGCAAGACAATATGGGAACAATGTTTGGTTCAGGTGATCAAAGTTCAAGGAATAAAGGCCTAATGATATCTGGCGAAATGCAAGCACGGTTAAAGCATAAAACGGATTAATGGGTAAATCGAGTGGTCATCAGTAAAGCTGGTCCTATTAACAAGGAGGTTACACAAGCTTACTATGTTAAGCTCACCAGGATTTAACCGACACCCCCATTTAATCCTCCCTTCCGATATTTAACCTCACTGTTATGCCCATTTCCCTGACTAGAAAACACAAGCTAACTAGACTGCCCAGTGTCTCTAAGCTACTCTTCTAAACCTTCAGCAAGACCCCTGGCCCATGCCTCAAGAACGGGGAAGGCCGCAAGTAAGATCCCAACCCTGGAGAGTGAAGTCACCACCTCAGTGTAGCAAGACCTTGCTACGGGAGCACTTCCAGTTTGGAGGCTCAGCGGCGTAGCAGGCGTTACCACCCCGTCAACGTACAAGGCACCCCAGATTCCGTCTGTTCGCACAAGACAGAGCGAAACCGCCCTCCACCAGGATGACCTACCAGACCCAGCGGGCCGATCTTCGGGGCCAGGGCAGACGTGGCACCGACCTCGCCACCGGTGCACCTCAGGTACACTGGTAGAAAGAAAAGAGGAGCGTCGCTGCAGAGGGAGCCCCCGCGCCAAAGTTCCCTCCGCATCTTCTGGGGCCGCCCACATCACTGGTCAATTCTCGGAGCCGCACCAAGAGCCTCAGCGGAGACAAGGAAGGCCACCCAACCCGCAGCTGGCGAGCCGCCTCCCTGGCGTGGACCGCCCCATGCGCCACGTGGGCCAGCGGCCTCGGGTTCGGCCACGGCCACGGCCACGGAGTCCCTGGGCAGCCCGGCCTCCGGCCAGCCCAGCGGAGGGGGTAGCACCCGGGCACAAACCTTACCCTTAGGCGTGCGGGCTGCAAAGCCACCACAGGTCGTCTGGTCCTCCCTCCCCATTTACACGTGGGGAAGCTGAGGCCCAGAGAGTTAGACACTTGGCCAGGTTAAGGCCTCTAGCAGGCAGCGGCTTAAAAGCCCGACGTGGGCAAGGCAACGGCGGCTGAGCCGGGGGCCCAACGGGCTGCGGGGAGGAGGAATGCTCCATCTTGCAGCCCCAGCCACATCTAAAGCACGCACCGACTTTGATCTCGTTGGGGTCGAACTTAGGCGGCATGGTGGAGGCAGATGGTGTCGGATGAACCCGGATTCGGGACGACCGAAGACAGTTGCACCTTCGCCTCCTCCGAGCCTAAAGCCAAAAGGCCGGAAAAGCTTCTGACTGCGCCGGATATAGGCAGAAAAGCGCGACTCTCGCGAGAACCGTGGGCTCCGCCCAGCCTCCCGGCGACGCCCTTGCCGCCATGTTGCTTGTGGGCAGGTGCCTGATGCTGACGGCTGGAGAACCCTGCTCTGCGGTGAGTTGTGACTAGGGGTTCGGAAGTGGGGGGGTTCGGAGAGGTTTGCCTGGGGGGGGGGTGCAGACCAAAGAAGGCTGCTTTCAGGCCTCGTTGTTCTCTATTCTCCCTTGTCATGAGAGTCACCCTATGGTCACTAGCCCAATAGCAAAGACCCGCCCCTCCCCTGAGGAGTCCGCACCCCAATTCCGAGACCCTAGGGCATTGGCGACCCTTGGCCGCCTTTTAGCTTCCTCGTGATATGTGCATTTTGTTTATCAAAACAATTTTGTTCGGGTCTAAATTTGATCCAACTCTCAATTCCAAGGTCCTGCGGTTCTCAGTCTCAGACTTCGTCATCCTGGTCTGCATGACTTTCTGAGATTCCGAGTTTCCGTCCCCAGCTCTTGCATTTGGAGGAGACCAGACTCTGGCTCCGCCCGGGGTCCCGGGCCGTGCCCGGTGGTCTGCGACCCGGTGTCCATGACCAAGCCAAGCCCTACGAGTGATCTGCCTGCCTTCAGATCCACCCGAGGGAAGGAGTGGTGACCTGTCCACCCACAAAGCAGGTGGGGCTCTCCCCACTCCAGCCTGGGGAGAATGGGTGTGGTTCTTTCCTTTGGGCTGGACGTTGGAGGAATGGATGAGGGGAGTGAACATTGGGGAGCAAGTTGGGAAGAGCTGATCTTATGGAAGGGATGGAGAAAGGATGGTCACTGTCGGGGAGGTAGTGGGTGGGCTTGACTTTGTGGAGGGGATAAGAGGGTGTTAGTCCTTGGAGAGCAGATGGGTAAGAGCTTGTCATCAGGGAGGAATTGGAGACGGCTTGTTTAGACTTTTCCCCATCACTGCTGGCAGGTGAGATGACAAGATGGTCCTGAGCCAGCTCTGCAGGTTGGCTTGCTCCCCAGACTCTCCACACCCCTGTGGGCAGAGACCTGTGATCTCTACCCCTCCCATTGAGGATTAGATGTGTATCTTCATCAATTGTACCTTCTCTCTAGTTCCATAAGCTGTAGTGGACCCTAAATAAATATTTGTTAGATGTATAGTTCTATGTGGCTGATATTTAATACCCATCAACCATTTAACCCATCCCCCACCCACCTTCCTCCATCAGCCCTTGGTTTGTTCTTTATGGTTTGCCTCCCTCTCTCTCTTTTTTTTTTTGCATTCCCATATGTTCATCTATTTTGTTTCTATTTCTTTTTTTATTTATTTATGATAGTCACAGAGAAAGAGAGAGAGAGAGAGAGAGAGAGAGAGAGAGAGAGAGAGGCAGAGACACAGGCAGAGGGAGAAGCAGGCTCCATGCACCAGGAGCCTGACGTGGGATTCGATCCCGGGTCTCCAGGATCGCGCCCTGGGCCAAAGGCAGGCGCCAAACCGCTGCGCCACCCAGGGATCCCTGTTTCTATTTCTTAAATTCCACATATGAGTTAAATCATAAAGCATTTGTCTTTCTCTGACTGACTTATTTCATTTTCGTAATACACTGTAACTCCAGCCACACTATTGCAAATGGCAAGATTTCATTCTTTTCGATGGCCGAGTAATAATATTCCATTGTGTGTGTGTGTATATATATATGTATATATTTTTTCTCTATCCATTCACCAATCAATGGACATTTGGGCTTTTTCCATAGTTTGGCTGTTATTGATAATGCTGCTATAAACATTGGGGTACAAGTGCCCCTTCAGATTGCTGCATTTGTATCTTGGGGTAAATATCTAGTAGTTGGTTTCATAAATTGCTGGGTCGTGGGGTTGTTCTATTTTTAACTTTTTGAGGAACCTCCATAAACCCAATTACATTTCATCCCAAAGCCTAGTGGGCTGTTCACCATAAGGTTCCCTGGATGATTGCTTCCTGGGCCAGTTGATATCCTTTATCAAGCACTGATATTTGCGGATACTGGGCAGGAAGTAAGCACCTGGCTTCTAAGTTCAGAACACTGTAATTAATGTGTGCTAAATTATTCGAGCACAAAGGAGTTGGGCAAACCCCACAGTATCAGGACTTGAAAGAGCAGAGCTCCAGACTGGTTTTGCTACAATCCGGGACATATAACCAATCACAGCTTATACATCCATTTTATCACTTTAAACTGGTCTGCAGTGAGAATCAGATGGAATAGTAGCTGTGAGGGTGGTAAGGCGTCTGAGGACTGCTTTGGAATTTTTATTCAACAAAGAAGTCTTTTTCTTATAATGTAGCTGATGCCACTCTGAAAGGGTTTCAGGAAGTGATTCATCAGTCCTATTATGAGTTCTTAGAGAACATTCTTAGAAAGACCTGCTATGCTGGGCTCATGGCACAGATGAATGGTTGAGATAGATACAGATGTTGACCTCAAGGATCATACAGTCCAGTAAATCAGCTATGTGTTCTGTGTTACTGTGCTGCCTGTCCTGAGTGTGAGAGATCCCCCAGGCCCTGATTTCTCTCCTATGCCCTAGAGTCCTGGAGATTACTCCAGGGGGAGAAAGAAAGATGCCGCTCTTCTTCCGGAAGCGGAAACCCAGTGAGGAGGCTCGGAAGCGCCTGGAGTATCAGATGTGTCTGGTGAGGGAAAGTGGGTTTCCCCCAAGTCCATCTCTGCCTCTGCCCTCATAAAACAGGGTTCCACACTGCACCCAAAGAAGCTGTGTGCTCCCTCTCTCCCATCTGCCTCCCTGACCCCCAGAGAAAATCTCTGACTCAAAGCATCAGTGAGGCCACTTGCCTGGTGCTCTGGAGTGCCTTGCGCCTCTCTCCCAGGGAAATGATGGCAATTATCATTTGTTCATTTGCTCTTCCATGCTGGACCTCAAGCCCCATTGAAACAGGGATCATTGGTACACTTGCAAATGGACTAATTGAACAAGATGGTGTCTGTGGTCTCATACAGCTCCTTAATCCTGTTTCTTTGGCTTGTTTGTCCATTCTGCAAGGGTGTTTTGTTTGAACAATTTTCAAATTATTATTCTTTTTACCATCAGGCAAAAGAAGCTGGGGCTGATGACGTTCTTGACATCTCTAAATGTGAGCTCTCAGAGGTAAACTGGGGGAGTGTTCTGGCTGTGAATTTGATCTGTCCTTTTCACTTGGATCACAATGTCCCTAAGACAGCTGTGGACTGGGACTTTTAAAACACCAGAAGCATTAGTCAAGAGAAGTTTTCTTAGATTTTGTTCTTATTCAAAAGAATTGAGATGATCATTGGTCTTGAAATAGTGTACAAGAATCAAGGAGTCTACAAAATATACCCATAGATTTCTAGGGAACTTGAAGAATCTGGGTTTCTCCAGCCTCTATAGCAGAGGCTTTCTTTTGCTCCAGTAGAGCTTGTGATGGGGATAGTGTATGAGCTGGAGCTGGGCAGGGCAGTCTCCTGCCAGCTGATTGCAGATGATGGCTGACCACATCCCCAGGAGCACTCCTCACCAGCCTCCTCTGCCACCCTCTTGGCTTAGCACTGCTCTCCACTTGAGGATTTTGCACTTGATCACCTCTTGCCCCATCTCTCCCTCACATGTGTGCCACTCAGAAAACAAACCCAGCAGGAAGGGAGGAACTGACTTCTTTCTCTTATCTTAGATTCCATTTGGGGCTTTTGCAACATGCAAAGTTCTACAGAAGAAGGTAAGGTGAATCTTCATTTTCACAGACTTGTTTATCGTATATTTGCATGTTTGAAATCAGGTGGGACTTTTAGGCACCCTCTTTTTGGCATGGACAGCTCCCTTCTCCCTCATTCTCACCCTTTCAGCTTGAAGTAGCTGTTTGTACAGTTAGAAAAGTTGGATTTGGCATCAGATGGTCCTGGGTCACATCCTGACTTAGCCCCTCATGAGTTGGGCAACTTCCGCCAACTCTTACATCCGTTTCTTCATCTATGAAATGAAGACATTCCTAATTCTAGTTCTACTCTTGCAGAGGTATCATGAGAACTATTAAATGAGTGACAGGCAGGGGGGAGGTAGGTAGATGGAGATGTGAATGCGCGAGGTATGATGCCTGCCACAGTAAACACTGGGAGACCTCATTGTTAATAATAATGAAAACTGAGCTTATTTCATTCTAGTCACCCAGGAGAGATTAAGAATGAAATGAATGATTTTTCAGAAAGGCATCACAGCTTTGCATGTAGGCAGCTGAGAGCATAGCATTCTAAATGAATTATCTAATGAAGATAATAAGTGTTCCATACCAATAGCCTGGTGAGCTCCTGGACACTAGAAGTTTCTATGCAGGGGTCAATGCTATAGAAATAGCAACAGATGACGTGGATTGAGCACCGGACCCCAGGCGAGCCCTGGGCTTAGTGCTTTTTGTCTGTTAGTTAATCATACAGCAGCTTTCAGAGGCAGGTACTTTATTATTCTCTGTTCCCCATGTGAAGTTGCTGAAGCTAAGGGAGGTTAAGATCAGGACAGCTACACAGGGACCCTTCTCAGGATGGAAAGTAGCATTAGGTCTTTTTTTTTTTTTTTTAATTTTTATTTATTTATTTATTTTTTTTTTTAAGATTTATTTATTTATTCATTCAGAGAGAGCGAGAGAGAGGCAGGGACACAGGCAGAGGGAGAAGCAGGCTCCATGCAGGAAGCCCGATATGGGACTCGATCCCGGGTCTCCAGGATCACACCCCGGGCTGCAGGCGGCGCCAAACCGCTGCGCCACCGGGGCTGCCCTTAATTTTTATTTATGATAGTCACACACAGAGAGAGAGAGAGAGAGGCAGAGACACAGGCAGAGGGAGAAGCAGGCTCCATGCACCGGGAGCCCGACGTGGGATTCGATCCCGGGTCTCCAGGATCGCGCCCTGGGCCAAAGGCAGGCGCTAAACCGCTGCGCCACCCAGGGATCCCGCATTAGGTCTTGAAGATCCCTTTCACCCTTGAAATTACAGATTTTCAGGTCATGTGATTCCACATTTGGAGGTTCTGTGATTCTGAACCACATCCCTCATTGGGAGAACAGAGAATACCGGGCAGGCAGGATCTGTAGTGCATCCTGCACCAAGCTAGCTGCCCTGTTTGCTGCTCTTCCTCAGGCTAACATGCCACAAATCTTTTCTATACAGGTGTTGATTGTCCATACGAATCATCTCACTTCCCTGCTCCCTAAATCCTGCAGCCTACTGAATCTCATAACCATCAAGGTACTGGGGGCCCTTCTCCCAGGTGTCAGGGTCTCTGCCTGCTGCATGTGACAGCTCAAGCTCCCTTTGTTAAAGTTTATGCCAGGTGGGCCTAACTTGATAGGCTGGGGTTGGGTCAGCACAGTTTATAGGCCACCTTTTGAGTGCTGTGCACAGAGTGGGGTTACAGAGATATCCAGCCACAGGCCCTGCCTTCAGGGAAGCTTGCCCAACAGGTAGAAAGGCAAAGCATAAACTTATAGCAGGTGGACTCACAGAGAGTATGGAGAATAACGGACCCAAACAAGAAGGCCCCAAAGGGATGCCAGGCATCACGGGGCAACGCAGGAAGCCCCGTGATCTGGGCTGACTTCCTCCTGATGGTCAGCCTTTCCAGGACAGTGACTGGGACAGATTCGTAGTATATGTGGCCTATGACCTCAGGATTATTGCACATGAACATGAGCTTTGGCAGTGGATATGCACAATAAGGGAAACGATGGCAGCGTCAGGCATCAAAGTGTTTCTTGTGGTTAACCCTGGCTTGTAAGAGTTGAGGTGGTTTTTTCACTTCTCTTTGCTATTCTGGTCCAACACTTATTATTTTTGTGATAAAATACATGGCATCTTATATGTGTTTTAAATACGTATTTTATACTTGTGTATATATTTCACTTATATATAAATGAAGCATATCTGTGTACTCATTTGGATTGTTAAAAAAATTAACTACAGTTAAAGCAAAGGAGGAAAAATGTCATCTCACACTCCACAGAGAACCAGCATCAGTGTATTATTGCACATTTGGTAGTCTTTTTCTTTTTTTTTTTTTAAGATTATTTATTTATTTATTCATGAGACATAGAGCGAGAGAGAGGCAGAGACACAGGCAGAGGGAGAAGCAGGCTCCATGCAGGGAGCCTGACGCAGGACTCAATCCTGGGACTCCAGGATCACGCCCTGGGCCAAAGGCAGGTGCTAAATCGCTGAGCCACCCAGGGATCCCCAAGGGTTTCCCTTTTTAACATGAATGCTTATGCAGACCATTTCATAGTATACTTTTATTACTCAACAGTTAAAAATATTTGATAAAGAAAAGAAAGAAATGGTATAACGTTTTGAAAAAGGAGCTGAGATGGAATGATCAATTGTGTAGTTGAAGAGGAGGGGCTGGTGTTGTTTCAACACCAAAGGCAGGAAAAGACCGTGGCATCTTCTCGCCTCCCTGGAGCCTCAGATCTGTGGGCTTTCTCCGTCAGTGATGTGACCCCTAAGCTTGTCTTCCTTCTGCAGGTTCTGGATCTTCACAATAATCATCTGTCAGCTCTTCCTGATGACATAGGGCAGCTGACTGCCCTGCAGGTATGGCTGCAGGACACAGAACACCCACTTCTGATTGCAAGTGAGAAACTGTATGAGCCTGGAGAGTTCTGGTTGGGCTCTGGCCAGGGCTCCCCTTGCTTCCAGCTCCCTCTATCCCTTTCTTGTCAGGAAGCTTGGTGACACCCTGGCCATGGCAATCCAAGCTGTGAGAGTCTCAATACCATACTTTTGGCATGTGCTTTTGGGATTTCACTGTGAGCTTCCACAAGAAAGGAAGCAGGAAGTGATGAATTCAGCACTCTGACTTATTCTCCCACTTCTGATCTCTCGTAGTCCCCTGCATGCCTGTGCGGAGCTAAGTGTTTCCCTCATTTTATCTATTGATTTGCTGCAGCCTGCCTGTCAGGAAGGTGCTAGAATTAGTCCTGTTTTACGGAGGAAGAAGCGGCTTTTCTGCATACTCAGATTAAGATCTATGCTCTCCACTGTGCCCTTGCACACCCTGTATGGTGGGCCCTCTTGCTTTCTAGCCTTCTCTGCTATCCCCCTTGCTCCCAGCAGCCAGCTCCTAAACCCCTTCTGGCCTTTCTGCTCCGCTGCGGCAGGGCCTCTCAATGCAGGCCTCTCCTCTCCCTTCTGTCTGAGTTGCTCATCATCTCCTAGCCCAGATGTCCCTGAGGAGCTTCCCAACCTCCCTGTCAGAGTATCTACCTTCTGGGCCTCTGTCTCAGCCCCAGCTTATTTCCTTGGCAGCACTAACAGCAGTTTGTAGTTAATGAAAGGCTTTACTGTTTGACTGAGATGTAGTCCTTTGAGGGCAGCACTCCCACTTCACACACTGCTTCGAACATGGAAGAGACCAAGAAGTGACGTTGAATGAACAACCCTACAGTGTGGGTGATGTCATTGCATTTTACAGATGAGAAAGTTGAAGTCCAGAGGGATGCCTGTCGCTTGCCCAAGGGCACACAGAACATGTGGCCGAATAATACGAATTGCCACTCCTTAGGAAACCACAGTGAATATCTGGGTGTAAGATCTCTAGGGACTTTGTTTAATGTATATTTTTACAGAATTGTTGCATTCATCATTTTGTAATTTTTGGATACCTGGCAATAACTCCTAACCATCTTTCAGCTCATCAAGTATTCATCTGCCACATTATTTTTAATGGCCGCTTAGCTTTCCATCGCATCAATATTTAATGAGTATTCAATGTGCCATCCTGTTGACCTTGCCCCTCTCACAATGCCACCTCTGGGAGGGCACACAGCCTGCAGAAACCAGTGAGTGTGTGTTCCCATCTGGGCACCACCAGCTGCCAGGCTAGAGACCTCAGACAGATCCTGCTGCCTTCATGCAGCTCTGCTTCCTTCCCCCGATGCTGGGATTCCTAGAGCCCTATCACAGTCGCCTCCTCTGGTCCCTGAACCTACTAGTCCCCTTCTTCCTGCTTGCTTGCTTGTGGGGTCATCATTGGGCTGTTGTGGTCTGCATAAATGATAGAACCTCAGAACTGGCTCAGCTCTCTTGGGCTTGTGACTTCACCACTCGGAGCCTGTTTTCTCTGACCCAGGATTGTAACAACTGATGCCCTCTCAAAGGGCTGTCAGGAGAAACCAAAGGTGTATGTGGTGCCCAGATGCTGCCTGGCCTGAAGCAGGCATAGACACTGTTCTCTGCATGTGGGTTCTCATGTCATTCTTCCCTCTTTCTTAGGTATTGAATGTGGAGAAGAATCAACTGACGTATCTCCCACGTTCCATTGGGAACCTGATCCAGCTTCAGACCCTCAGTATAAAAGGTAGGGGCCAGAAAGCCCTATCCATGTGGCTTCCAATTAGCTCTGGGATGTCTCAACAGCATCTGCAGAGCGCTCTCCCAGGAGCCCCTGAGCAGCCAGTCCTGGGGCATCCCTATAAACCCCCTGTTTGCAGCAGGGGAGGGGGGGGAGGGTGTCTGTCTCCATGGTGACCGAGACAGGGCATCAGGAGAGTTCCTGTGACTCATCAGGGCCTTACAGAGAGGAGGGCAGACAGTCCTGACAGCTGGGCTGCCAGACTCAGGCACTCATATTTGTAATAACAAGGAGCATTTGGAGTGGCAGCCCAGCACGGGGAGAGCCATTCAGGAGCCACAGTAAAGGTTGTGACAGCGAACGCTTCACACTCAGGGAGGAGCACTTCTGCAGTCAGCAATGCAGCAAGCCTCCCAAGTCCATGGGGCAAGGACAGGAAGATGTGCTCCCCCATTGACAGGTGAAAAAAGAAGGCTGACAGCAGTGACTTGCTCAAGACCACCCAATGTGATAGTGACAGAATCTCATGCAGGATGCTTCTCTCCCATACCCCCAGCTCCCTGATGTCCTCTTGTTGACCTTAAGCACTTTCTGTACAAAATGCCTCAGTTTACTCTTTGGTGACACATAAAGATAAAAATAATGATACCAAAAAAAATAAAAATAAAAATAAAAAATAAATAAAAAAATAATGATACCATGTTTATTGATCACTTACTCTATTACAGGCAGTGTGCTGAGGGCTTCATATGCATAGTTCCATTGAATCCTTTGATATTCCTATGAAGACAAATAGTATCATTATCCCCATTTTACAAATGAGAGAACTGGCCAAAAGAGGTAAAATCCATTTTCCAAAGTCACTCAGCTAGTAAGTGGTGGAGTAAAAATGTTCTCAAACCTAGGTCACTGAAACTCAACCACTTTGCTCTTCTTCATGGAGCCTCAGGTCTTGAGACCTGGCACATGCCCCGAGGTCAACATGAAGTGCCCACTTGCCCCCAAGTCCTGGCGGTGTCAGGCAGGAAACTGGTGAAAGGGCTTTGGGGGGTTGAGCTTTGCCCTTGGGATCTCTCCAGATAACAAGCTGAAGGAGCTTCCAGACACCGTGGGGGAACTTCGAAGCTTACGTACTCTTGACATCAGCGATAATGAGATTCAGAGGTTGCCACAGCTGCTGGCGCATGTTCGAACCCTGGAAGTAAGTGCAGAACCGTTCTCTCTGGCCATTCCACCTCCCCTTCCCACATTCCTAAATGCCCCCCCCTGCTTGTGGGGTGCTGGGCCCACAAAGATCTCAAGCTCACAGAGAGGCCAATGTCGAGCAGTTGTAATTATGTGACTCTTGCTGCCACATTGGAGGCAGAAAAACACACTCCTAGTGTGAGGACAGAATGTTGAATCCTGGTGGGGTCGGCACTTTGTAAAAGATGTGGTGTTTGAGCCAGACCTTGAAAGAGGAACTAGCTTTGGAGAAGTAGATGCTGGTAACGGAGCATTTGGGTGAGGGGACAGTACGGAGGACACAGGAAGTGGAAAGCACAGGATGTGTTAAGGGAAGAATGAGGGGATCTGACATGGTTGGCAGTTGCTGTGTCTGGTGGGTCTGGATCGCAAAGAGCCCAGCACTTCATGATGGAGAAAGTAGCCTCACTAGGAGGTGTAGACACTGAGTTTTGTCAGGAGAGGGTACAAGCACTTCCTGGGTCCCTGTGTGTTTGCCAGGGCCGCCATAACAAAGCACCACAGGCTGGATGGTTCCAACAACAGATTTATTTTCTCATGGCTCTGGAGGCTGGAATTCCAACATCAATGTGTAGGCCGAGTTGTTTGCTTCAGAGGCCTCTCTCCTTGGCTTGTAGATGGCCACCTTCTCAGTGTGTCCTTGCATCATCTTCCCTCTATATGTGCATGTGTCCGTTTTCCTCTTATAAGAACACCAGTCTTACTGGATTAGGGCCCAGCCTGGTGACTTCATTTTGAATTTGTTTTCCTCTTTAAACATCTTATATCTAAATATAGTGATATCTGAGGTACAAGGGATTAGGACTTCTTATATGTGTTTTTGGGGGACATACAGTTCAGGCCTTAAGAGACACTGACACAAAGCAGCTCACTCAGGGAAGGTGGGCTCTTAACAGTCGTGATGACAAGACAGCTCACATTTTTCTGGTGCTTCGTAAGGCAAGGTATTTAACCTGAATCCTCAGGAAAATCCTGCGAGCCAGATAGTGTTGTGCACCTTTAGAGATGAAGAAATTGAGCCATGGACAGTGAGCATGTGCACATGAGCAGGGGAGGAACAGAGAGGGAAAGAGAGGATAAGAAAACATGAGCAGGGGCAGAGAGAGAGCGGGGAGCCCCATGCAGGGCTTGATTCCAGGACCCTGAGCTGAACAGATGCTAAACAAACCGAGCCACCCAGGTGCCCCTCATCTATTCTTTAAAAAAAAAAAAGCTTTTGAGCTTTTTGGTAGGGCATTGGCCAAACCCTTTTCCAGGATGAGACCACAGACAGCCATTCCATTAAGGCCAAGGTCTTTCTCATGAGTTATCTCCTATTACCCATCGAATAGCCCTGGGTGTTAGCATGCCTGTTGAACTCTGAGGGAGCTTCAGGGAAGTCAGCTGGCCTGCTCAAGGGCACACAGCTGGGACAGGACCAGCTGGGGTCTGACACCATGGCTGAGTGACCACCTGCAGTGGTGTCCAGCTGCCACTCCTGCCGGTAATAGGAACACCCACAATCTATGTCCCATGTAGCAGCAGCCTGCTGCCTGTGGATGTTGCACATTTGAAACGTGGCCAGTGCAACTGAGGGACTGAGCTTTAAATTCACGTTCATTTTAGTCAGTGAAAATGTAAACTTACACAGCCAGGCATAGCTCAGGGCCACCAAACTAGGTGGTGCAGCCCCAGCATCCAGCACGCTTTACTGAGGGTGACCAATATCACCCATGTGGGTGAATTTTCTTCGGATTCAGCCTCCTAGGGTGGGGTTTTCTGCTCTCAGGCCCCCCAAACCCAGGCAATCGGTTCCTCTGCTCCAGGGTAGACTCCCTGCTGCAGTGCATGTTACCGGGTGCAAGAGCTGTGCTGGCCAGGGCTGGGGCGCATCTGAGCTGCTTTTTCCACTCAGCGACCTCCTGCCTGGTCCCTCAGGCCTTCCCCTGGGGTGGGGAAGGGTAGAGAGGGTATGCACTCCTGAAATGGGCGTTAGGTAACTTGTGCTGAGTCCAGGAGGCCTCTGGGAACAAGTGAGAAGCTAGCAGAAGGGCTTGGCTCAACAAACAAAATCCACAGAAAACCTCACAGCATGGCAGTGGACAGCAGCGTGGGCATTTGTGTGAACTAGATCCCTGTTTTCTAGGCCTCATAAACCCGTAAGCAGATGCACATGTGCCCATGTAAACATTGAGTTTTTTCTTACTTATAAAAATCACATTGCTAAATTCCAAGTTCATGTAGAAAGTACCCCAGAATCTACCCTTTAGAGGAAACCATTTTGAGTTTGATAGAGATTTCTCAAAAAAAAATTTTTTTTAAGATTTTATTTATTTATTCATGATAGAGAGAGAGAGAGAGAGAGAGACACAGGCAGAGGTTGAAGCAGGCCCCATGCAGGGAGCCTGACGTGGGACTTGACCCCAGATCTCCAGGATCATGCCCCCAGCCAAAGGCAGGCGCTAAACCGCTGAACCACCCAGGGATCCCCAAATTTTTTTATAAATATACTAAAGTGAGAGAATATGAGTATTTCTTTAAACAATTTCCCTTTTTTCCTCTTATTTATGTTTTTACCCAAAAAACATGAATCACATGCTAGCCGCATGCCAGGCACTGTTTTAGGTGCTAGAAATGGCAGCAGGAACAAGACAGATAAGCTGCCCCTGCAGAGGAGACTCAATTCAAACATTCAACTCTGTAACTAAATCAGGTGCTTTAGGATTGTGTTGACAACACATATAAAGATATTTCCCTTGTGTCTGCAGACGCTGAACCTCGACGCCTCGTCCATGGTTTACCCCCCACAGGAGGTATGCAGTGCCGGCACCCAGGCCATTCAGCAGTTCCTCTGCAAAGGTAAGACCAGGCAGCCTGCCTCCTTCACCCAGTGAGCAAGCATGGTCCCAGCCACTGCCTTATGCCACCCCAGACTTAGGGGATAGCAGAGACCTGGGAGGCCACAGCCCCCACCTGCTCAGATCTCACCACATCTAGCAGGAGAAACAGGCAGAGCAGATGGTCACAGGAACTCTCATTACTGGTTAGGTTAGGGCATCAGAGAAGATCTGAGAAAGGGGCTTGACCAAAACTTGAGGGTATTTAGGACTTAAGAAGGAGAGAAGGCTGTTGCTGGCAGGAGGAGAAGCAGGTTGAAGGGCTTAGAGGGGTACATGGTGGGAAGCAGGCTGCAGAGAGGCAGGTAGGGGTGGCCACACAAAGGGAGGGGAAACAGGTGAGGGGCTGGAGAGGCCACCTGGGTCCGGTGTCACCCAGGAGAGGACTCATCCAGCTGCAGGGAAGAGAAGGGCCTGGAGAAAGCAAGCATGGAGGCCAGGGACTAGTTGGGGGTCATTGGGGTCATCCAGGACAGGCCACGGTGGACTGGACTCAGAGGAGTGACAGCGCAGCTAACACCCAGGGCCACCACTGGTCTGGGCACCCCAAGAGGAGGCCAGAATACCCGCCACCTCCTCCTATCTGCCTGATGGCTCCTGGGGAGCTTGTAGAACATGGCCAAGACCCATACACACAGTCAGGTGTGGGTGACAAAGGGGCCATTGCAAAACAAGAAAGGAAAGCAAAGTCTTTTCAGTAAATGATTCCAGTTCAATTGGATATCTGTATGGGGGTAAAGAACCTTAATTTCGGGATCCCTGGGTGGCGCAGCGGTTTGGCGCCTGCCTTTGGCCCAGGGCGTGATCCTGGAGACCCGGGATCGAATCCCACGTCCAGGTGCATGGAGCCTGCTTCTCCCTCTGCCTGTGTCTCTGCCTCTCTCTCTCTCTCTGTAGCTATCATAAATTAAAAAAAAAAAAAAATATAAAAAAAAAGAACCTTAATTTCTTCCTTCAATAGGAGACAGGCAGCACCAACCATAGAAGGTTGATAAGTTACATTTCATTAACATCGAAAAGACCCCATTTAGGGAAAGAAAGAGCAGTCATGAAGTTAGAAAGGATATTTGCAAAACATACATGTCCAACAAAGGGCTGCTTCTGGCCCATACAAAGATGAAGGAAAAGGCATTGTCAAAAGACTCAAATAGGAATTTTACAAAAGAGAATATCCACATGGCCATTAGTATCCCCCCCAAATTCTCAACATCATTTTTTTCAATAGGAAAAAAAGCAAATTAAAACTGCACAGAGACACTTCAATCCTAACACACCAAATTGAAATGGCTAAAATTAATGTCAGGACGAAGAATTAACAAGCACGTGGAGCGACAGCTTCCATACACAACAGGTAGGAGTGTAAGTCAAAAACTGCTTCCAAAAATTATTGTTAATACCTCCTAAAGCTGAAAATTCAAACACGCTGTGGCCCATCAATTTTATTCCTAGGTGTGTTCTGGGAAAGTACATATGAATATATGTCAAAAGCCAAGTACAGAAATATTCGTGGCAGCACTGTTCATAATAGCCCAAACCAGATACAACCTATATGCCCATCAGTGGTAGAATGGGTAAATACACTGTTTCAGACTCACTTGTGAATACTCCACAGCAATCAAAAAGAACAAAGTTTTACTGCCACAGCAGTGGTGAACCTCGCAGATGCGACGTGCAGTGAGAAAAGCTAGACACAAAGGAATACACACTTTTATCAGCACATGAGTTCTGAACCAAACCCAATTCCTGTTCATAAGGGTGTATATACTTTTAAACATTCACCAAGTTATACATGAAGACTTTGTGCACTTTCTGTATGTGATACTTCAGTTAAAAAAGTTACACATCACACAGCAGCTACTCTGGCCACACACCTATCCAATTAGTCTTTGAGCAACAGGTGATTCTAATGTGAATCCTGGCCAGTGGTAGAGCTAGACAAATTCTTTCAAGTATAATTGTTATATTAACTTCAGGTGTACAATATGATGACTTAATTCTGTATGTGACTCAGTGCTCATCACTACATAAGTGTGCTGCTTAATGCCCTTCACCTATTTCACCCATTCCCCAATCAAACCCTTTATTTTCCTTAAAAGATTTTTAAATTACGTAATTTCTAGGTGTCAAGACAGAGAATAAAACAATGAGCATATGTATACCTACTATACAGCTTGAGAAATAATTCTTCAATTTATTTAAACGGTGTAGTAGGTATACGTATGTATGTAAAGTTTTGGGGTTTGCTCTTATTTTAAAAACATTTTTTAACCCATTAAAAGATAACATATTATTGTGGTTCTGAGCCCTGCCTTTTTCACTCAAGAATAGGTCTTAGGGGGCAACCCGGGTGGCTCAGCGGTTCAGCGCCATCTTCAGTCCAGGGCCTGATCCTGGAGACCCGGGATCGAGTCCCACATCAGGCTCCCTGCATGGAGCCTGCTTCTCCCTCTGCCTGTGTCTCTGCTTCTCTTTCTCTCTCTCTTTCTCTCTCTCTCTCTCTGTCTCTCATGAATAAAAAATAAAAAAGCAATTAAAAAAAAAGAATAAGTCTTAGGCCTTTTCCTATCTCTAAACGGATGGATTGGTCTTGTTTTTTTTTTTTTTAAGATTTTATTTATTTATTCATAGAGACAGAGAGAGAGGGGCAGAGATACAGGCAGAGGGAGAAGCAGGCTCCACGCAGAGAGCCTGACGTGGGACTCGGTCCTGGGTCCCCAGGATCACGCCCTGGGCTGCAGGCGGCGCTAAACCGCTGTGCCACCAGGGCTGCCCAATTGGTCTTGTTTTAAAGTGCTGTATAGTATTTCACATGGTGGAGCCCCACAGCTTATGTAGCCTCCCCTTTTGGTGAACATGAGGCTATTTTCAGTCTTCCACTGTTATGAGCATTTTAACACACCTCTCGCTGGCACACTAGGCTTATTCCTCTAGGGCAGGCTGCAGTGGGGCTGGCAGGTGAAAGGGGCTAAGCGCTGTGCACTGCGCGAGTTTAGATTCCTGTGAGAGGCTTCTAAGAGGACCCTTTTCTCCTTCCTACAAATAACACTGGGTGTCTTTAAAGGTCTTCTAAGTTTGTTTATTCTGACGGATAAACAAGGCAGCCTACTATTATTGTAATGTTCATGTCCTTGGTTATTTGAATATTTTTTCATATACCTACTGTCTACTTTTAGTATTTCCTTTCCCGTTTATATTTTTAAAAGACAACTTTGGCCATATTAAAATCTAAAAGTTCTTTACCTCGGAATGCCTAGGTGGCTCAGCGGTTGAGCATCTGCCTTCAGCTCAGGGTGTGATCCCAGGGTCCTGGGATCAAGTCCTGCATCAGGCTCCCTGCTCCCTCCTCCCCCCCAGAGGGAGCCTGCTTCTCCCTCTGCCTGTGTCTCTGTCTCTCTCTCATATAAATAAATAAAATCTTTTTAAAAAATAAATAAGGGATCCCTGGGTGGTGCAGCGGTTTGGCGCCTGCCTTTGGCCCAGGGCGCGATCCTGGAGACCCGGGATCGAATCCCACGTCGGGCTCCCGGTGCATGGAGCCTGCTTCTCCCTCTGCCTGTGTCTCTGCCTCTCTCTCTTTCTCCCTCTGTGACTATCATTAAAAAATAAATAAATAAATAAATAAATAAATAAATAAATAAATAAAAAATAAAAGTTTATCTCAAAAGGATACCATCATTAAACTTAAAATGGTTACCATCTGGAAGAAGATAGTTGCAATATATATCATAGACCTAAGGTTATTAGCTACAGTATGTAAGGAATACCTATAAATCGGCAAGAATAAGGCAAGCAACCCACTAAAAAATGGGTAGAGGGTACGAACCCTGTCAAGTCATACAGGAGAAGAATATGCAGGGCCAGAGAAGGTGAGGGTCTTGCCCAAGGTCTCACACAGGAAAGTATGGACCCAGAATTCTCCACTAATCTCCTTCTTCACATCACCTCATTCTCACTCAGGTGGTAAAGAGGCAGCTGGCCAGCCTATTTATTCACTCAACTGACACTTCTTCAGTGCTTGCAGCATTCTAGGCCTTGGCATTAAGACTAGTGAGCAAGATGGAGGGGCTGGTTTAGTCCAGGGCAGGGCAGCAGTGGACCGACCAGGCAGGTGGGACAGGATGCTGGGGAGAAGTCAGAGGCTGTAGCAGCTGATGGCTCTGTCCCCTCCCTCTCAGTCAGCCTGTATCATCTCTTGCAGAGTCCGGGCTGGAATACTACCCTCCTTCTCAGTACTTGCTGCCAGTCCTGGAGCAGGACGGAGCCAATACCTCCCGGGATAGCCCTGACGGTCCCACGGACAGATTCTCCAGGGAGGAGGTAGAGTGGCAGGTAAGCCGTACCTGCCTGCTGACGTGTGGAGTGGGGGCGTGTGTGTGCAGGGGGCCCTGGGCACTGGCAGGATGTTCAGAGCTGCGGGCCCTAGATTCCTCCATCAAATTCAAATTCACCTCCATCCAGACCAGTGTGCTTAGATGCTTTCACAGAGCCTCTGCCGCCTCCCCTTACCACCTCAGCAAACATGAGCTGCACCAGGCTCCTCTCGGTTCCTTGAACCCCTCGGGACCTGTGAACTTGCAGTTCCTCCGTCTAGAATTCTCCCTGCTTACCCATCGCATCCTTCAGTTCTGTCTAAATCCTGCGTCCTCCGAGAGGTCTCCTGTGGGATGTTCTCAGTGGGGATTGTGTCCGTATTGCTCATTGTTCTCTCAGCAAGTACTTCCTGCCTCAGTGGCCCTTGCCATGTAGGACGCCTCTCATGCTCTCCTGCTCTCTGTCTGTGGGGAAGTCAGGGAGGCACATGTGTCAGCACAGCATGGGGCTGGCCCTCCCAGGAGGTGAACTAGCCTAGGATGGGCATAGAGGAGGAAGCTTGGCCAGGCTTTGCCATATCAGCCGGGAGCACCTAACAAGCCAGTCGGAAACGCCTCTGGCCCCACCTGAGCTCCCACAGAGGGCCCACAGCCCAAGGTCTCTGAGGCAGGTAGAGGGGACACCAATGGCCACAGGTTTGGCTTCTTATCTTCCAAGGACTTTTTATCAATCTCTGATTCTCTAGTGCCACCCTTCCCTGTTTGACGGTGCCACCATGAATGCCTTTGTAGTTTTATCTTCTTGCTGCTCTGTGAGAATTAGAGGGGGAGATTTCTATCCAGGGAAATCATGTCAGCTTTTACTCTCAGGAAGTATTTGCAACACACACTTTTTATGCAGGATTAGCAGGCTGACTACATAAAGCACTTTTTTGAAGCGGTAAGAAGCAAAAAAACTATCCCATGGGGGGGAAGGGGTAGAGATCTATCAACAGGTACGTCAGGAATCCTCTAGTACATATGAGGGGCACCTGCCTGGCTCATTCAGTAGAGCATGTAACTTTGTTTTCTTTTCTTTTTTTTTTTAAAGATTTATTTATTTATTCATGATAGACACAGAGAGAGAAAGAGAGAGAGGCAGAGGGAGAAGCAGGCTCCATGCCGGGAGCCTGACGCGGGACTCAATCCCGGGACTCCAGGATCGTGCCCTGGGCCAAAGGCAGGCGCCAAACCGTTGAGCCATCCAGGGATTCCCCCGAGCATGTAACTTTGATTTCAGGGTCCTGAGTTCAAGCCCTGCATTAGTGTAGAGCTTACTGAATAACAAAACCAAAAACAGTACAGATGATCAGTAAACATGAAAAAAATGCCCAACTCCTCTAGTAATCAGTAACTGGTAAATTAAAACAATAAAATACCATTTCCTCCCTTAGACTGGCATAAGTGTCACTTTAATTTCTTGGCCAGAGTGTGGGGAAACCGTGGCCTCATAAATTGCTCTTGGGAATGGAAACTGGTGCTCCCACTGTGGAAGATGACCTGATAATATGGGTCAGAAGTCTAAATGGACACAGCCCATGATCCAGGAGACCTACTTCTCCGTACATACCCACAGAGAGACACTGGTAAATGCTTCCTGCATGGGAATGTTCCTTGCAACCTTATTTGCAGTAGTGAAGTATTGGAAGCCCCCTAAATGTCTGCCAACAGGCAAAGGCTGAGCCAGCTGTGTCCTGTCCCTACTGTGTATGAGATCTATCCAGACTTGGATCACAGACATATGTGTAAATGAAAAGGGCAGGCTGCAGAACACAATGGATGTAATCCCCCTCTTATGTTTAGAGAGAAAATCTATAGGAAATAGAACAGGTCAGTAATAGACATTAACCTGGGGCCGGGTGGGAGGCTAAGAGGACAGTTTATTGACAAAGGGACATGAGGGAATTTTAGGGGGTGATGGGGTGCTTCTCTATCTTGATTGTAGTGACTGTTACATGACTGCATTTGTCAAAACGCTTAGAACTGCATACTAAAAAGAATGAATTTTACAGAATGTGAATTTTGCCTTCATTAAAACCTAAGTTATATATGAACACACAGAGACAAATCTATATTTTCTAAAGGCACTTTGTAAGTTAGATGGTATGTACTTGGATCTGATAATGGTGCTTACATGGCAGTGGGCACAGGAGGGAACCAGGATCAGGCTGGGGAATGCTCTGTAGGTACTTTATAGGCTGTGCTTTTTATTTTTTTATAAGGAGAATATATTCAGATATTATCTATATAATTAAAAGTTAATTTTAAAAATTTTACTCCTACCTCAGTAAAGGACAAATCCAATTTCCTTATAATATGCTGCTTTTACAGCTTAGACAGAGACTGATCCTGGCCTCTGAGTTGGGTAACGAAATACAAGGGCCACTTCAAAATATCTGTGTGTGTTTATGTTTAACTACAAGAGTAATTCATGCTCCCTGTTATAAATCTGAACAATATAGAAATACATAAACCAAGGGAATTACCTCCATTCCCTACCACCACCACCACCCCTGCAGTCCCACCCTCTGGAGGAAATCCTCATGAACTATTAATGCATCTCCTTTGAGTCCTGTCTCAACAGATACCAAACCCAGAGTTGAGTTTTGTTGCCATTGTTCTTACAAGAACAGAATCCTGGTGCACACAGAGTGAAAGGTGACAGACCTCTTTCTCTGAGGCTCCCCATCCTCTCCCCATTACTTAGCACTTGTGTGATCCACTGCATGGATGCACCATGACTTACTGAAGTGACCATCTCTGTTACTGCTGGGCTTTTCACTCTGTAGAACAATTCTGCAGAATCTGTACATGTGCCTTTGTGCATCTGTGTTGTGGTGGGCTGGAGCCCTGGGGCACTGCGGGTGTGCTGTACAGAAAGGGAACCACACATCCCACGTCTTGGTCCTCTTTATGGAACGCCACACCATCTCAGTGCTGCACCCCTAGAACTGTCCTGCAGAGCTTCCTACAGTGTGTTCTCTGCCCTGGTGTCCACTGGAGCCCCCGGGACCCTTTATCAGCCTACCTTTCCCCCTGGTCCCCATGTCCCCACTGCTCCCCCTTGCCCCCCAACCACCATTCTGATGCAATGCCGTGGGGTAGAGCTGGAGTCTGAGTGGCATCAGGCTGCCTGGCCCGGGAATCCCACTGTTGTCACCTTCTCTTGACCGCTGTTTTTTTTCCCCTCCCCAGAATAGGTTCTCAGACTACGAGAAGAAGAAGGTAATAAAGTGTCTTTTCTCCTGGGTCACTTTTCTCCTTAACAAAGATCTCCACTATTATAAAAGATTTGAAGGAACAAATTGATCCTATCTCTAAATAGAGGGGAAACTAAAGTTTTCCTCTTAACTACCTTGCCTCACCACATCTTCACACAGCCTTGGTGGGTAATGGGGTATCTCCCCTTCACATATGAGAAGTCTGAAGTCCAGGGACCCCAGACCCTAACCCAGCCTCTGCCAGTGAACAGAATGTTTTATTACAGTTGGGCCCAGGGAGGGGGTGGGAGGCACTGGGTGTGGGGGGTGTGGCTCAGTGTTAAGACCTTCAGCCTGCACTATTCAGAGTTTAAAAGGTGGGTTTACCCTGCTCCCATGTCCCAGCACCCACAGAGCCTTGCCAGCCATTACCAGAATCTACCTTCTTCTAGGAACAGAAGATGCTGGAGAAACTTGAGTTTGAACGGCGCTTGGAACTTGGGCAGCGAGAGCATGCGCAGCTCCTTCAGCAGAGCAACAGTCAGAAGGATGAGATCCTCCAGACAGTAAAGGAGGTCTGTGAATGGCTATGTGGGGGGCTTGTCTGCTCACTCTCTGCCAGGGGGGCCCTTACAGATCACCTAGTCCAGCCTCTTCTTGTGTAACGGGTACCCGAGGGGCCTAGCAAGGGGAAGGCCCGGGCCCAGATCACACAGAAAGGCCTGGCAGGGCAAGGGGAGAAACTGGTGCAGAGCCCCTGGCTGCCAGCTGAGGCTGGCTGGCTGTCCCACTGCAGGAGCAGTCCCGGCTGGAGCAGGGCCTAAGTGAGCGCCAGCGCTACCTGGACGCAGAGCGGCAGCGGCTGCAGGAGCAGCTGAAGCAGACGGAGCAGAACATCTCCAACCGGATCCAGAAGCTCCTGCAAGAGAACCAGAGGTCAGACCCCTACTCCTAAGGCCCAGAGGATTTCCCTGATGTGGCACCCTCTGAGGAGCCTGGAATAGGGGTCCATTTCTCCCTCATGATGTCTACTCCTGCCCAGAGTTGTGTTGTTTTTTTTTTTTTTAAGATTTATTTATTTATTCATGAGAGACACAGAGAGAAAAAGAGATAGCGATACAGGCAGAGGGAGAAGCAGGCTCCGTGCAGGGAGCTGACATGGGACTCGATCCCGGGACTCCAGGATCATGCCCTGAGCTGAAGGTGGCACTAAACCACTGAGCCACCCGGGCTGCCCCTGCCCAGAGTTTTTGTGTTAGGGTCCAGTGTTGGTGCTGCAGTTTGCACCAACCTAAAGAGAAAAGCATCTGCTCTGGGCCTGACCTGGTCTGTAGCTCATCCTTGGACCCATGCCTCCCAAGTGTCCTGTCTGTAAAATGAGGAAGGTTAATAGGAGAGTTGAGATTACGTCTTGCTCCAGTATTCTAGGTTCCAAGTAATGTGTTGCTCTGAGGTCAGCCATAGTGAGATTTGCCTTAACAAATCGTGTCCAGGGTAGGCACAGCTAGGAGCAGGCCTCAGTGGACTTGGGGGAAAGGAAGCCAGATCAAAGTCTCCAGAAGCTCTAGTTAGGGCCCCTTGTGGAAAGCCTCCAGAAACGGGCTTTCACCACGTTCCCTGTTGTTTCCAGGCTTCCTCTTGCTTTTTCCTCACTCCTCCATCATGTAGTAGTTATATGGCGCCCAAGCGAGCCGGCATGTGTACCACACAGTGGGCTCTCCCGACCTGGGCATCCTGGAAAGCTACCTCTGTCAGATGCTGCTTATGTGCTGAGCACTTTGTGTATATTCTCTTATTCACTCTTGAAAAATACTCCGTGAAGCTTTTTTTTTTTTTTCTGAGGATCCCATTTTGCAGATGAGGAACCAGGGATTGATGTGGCTGAGTAACTGGCCCAATGACACACAGCCAGAGGTTTTGAGGCTGAGAACCCCAGCTGGTTCCTCAGTACCTTCTGCACAGCCAGTGCAGTGAGAGGAAAGTAGTTCTGTTGGAAACAGGCCTGCTGGTGACAGCTGCAGTGACCTTTACAGTTTTGGTTTTCTCTACAGGCAAAAGAAAAGTTCTGAGATCTTGAAGTCACTGGAAAATGAAAGGTCAGTGTTTTGTTCTAGCACTTTCTCCACATTACTTTGGGGTTAGGGGAGGGGCTCAGGGAGAGGCCTTGTGATTCTCAAGGTTTATGCCAGAAAGTTTTCCTAAAGCTGTAAGGAGATATTCACCTCCTTAGGGAATATTGAATCAAAAAGAATCACCACCTGTAAGTTTAACACACATGTACATTCATAAGAAAAACTGAGACAAAAATATTTATAATGTCAAACTGTATTACTAGCATAAAAATGTTGAGAAAAATCCATTTATTAAGGGAAACACAGTTTGTTGCGAAGTAGTCAAGTAGGGACTGCAATTATAGCAGAACAGGATTTCTTCAAGAAAGCATGTATCTATGCTCAGAGACCAAAAGGAGCCACGCTGAGTGGTTTACCAAATGTTTCTGAGGCAGAAATTAGAGGTGGTGATCTTTGGGTTTTTCCCTTTGTGTTTTCCCCCTTTTAGTAATTAGGAAAGATGGTAGCTGAGAAGGAAGCTTTCTTCTTCTGCCTCTCCCTCCGTCTTCTCTCCTTACCCCTCTCCTCCCCTCCCCCCACCTTCCCAAGGATTATCTGGAATCCCTCCTGGTTCCCTGGAATCCCAAAATAGCCCTGTGGACTTTGTTGTGGTACTTGTGCTGGCCTTCTAGGCACCTGGCTGCTTGGAAAGGACTCCTGGGGGGTAGCCCCCTCCCCTGGCCACTTCAGCAGCAGTGCTGCGGTGCCAGAGGTGGTCAAGGCCAAGCCGGGTTATGGCCAGTTTATCTGGCACGCGCCAACCAAGCACCCTCTCCCTGTTGGGCCCTTTGTGCAAGCACCCTCTCCCTGTTGCGGCTCCAGCAGCGCACCGGTTGCAGCCTTCTCTTGAGGAGCCTGTGGGCCTGGGCAGGAGGCAGAGATGCTCAGACACTTCTTCCAATGAAGTGCAATGTGCAGAAAGATGAAAAGATATTCCTTGCAAGCCACTGTTACTAGTTTACTGTGGGGAACGATGCCTACACATGCAGTGTGCATGTACATGCATCCGATGACCTTTTTAATTTTCATTTACTGTATTGTGGATGTGTTTTCCATGCCCAAAGCCTCGTTTGTAATAACTGTAGAGTATTCCACTAAGTGATTATATCCTAATTAGTGCTCTGTGGACATGTAAGTTCCCAGGTTTTCTTCATTACAAACGCTGTTGTAGTAAATATCTCCTGAATATATCCGTATGCATTTATGTGAATATTTTTGAAGGTTTTCTTTTCAGGCTTTTCGATAGGTCTTGCCAAATGGCGTTCTAAACTAAAAGATGTTTTACCAGCTTATGCTCTTCTTCACAGTACTTGAAAATGCCTGCTTCCCCTTCACTGCTGCCATCAGCACTCCTCACTTTCCTTGACATCCCACCCTGGGAGGTAGAAAGACTGTACTCTAGTGATTAGTAACATAAAGCTCTTTCCATGTGTTTCCATGTGTTTATTGGTTCCTTGTATTTAAGCATCTATGAAGTGGCTGTTTGTGTCCTCTGCCCATTTTCCTAAGGGAGTGTTCATCTTTTTATGCCAGAATCTCTGTCTACAAGGCTGGAGGTAAACAGGGCTCCTGTGGAAGTATGGGATATAACGAGCCTGTTTAGGTTGGCACCTCAAGGAGGACTTCCTGGAGAAGGTGGTGTTCATCAGATGGGATTCCCTGTGGGAAGTGTTAAATCTGCTGAGTAAACGGATGGATTTTTTTTTTCCCCTTAGAATAAGGATGGAACAGTTGATGTCCATAACCCAGGAGGAGACTGAGAACCTGCGGAGACGTGAGATTGCCTGTAAGTGGGGAGGGGTGTGGGGTCCTGGGAACAGAGCTTGTCTGACTTGGGGGCAGGAGAGACCACCTTCTCCCTTTGGCCAGGTATAGCAGGGTCGAGAGGGGCAGTTAAAGTCCAGCAGTGAAGCATGGGCTCCGGGGTCAGGCCAACTCTGGAGCAAGCCATATGACCTCGGGGCCATTCCTGGCCCCTGACTATTCAGAGCCTCAGTGTTCTCTCTTTTTTTTTTTTTTTTTTAAGATTTATTTATTTATGATAGACACAGAGAGAGAGAGAGAGAGAGAGAGAGAGAGGCAGAGACACAGGCAGAGGGAGAAGCAGGCTCCATGCCGGGAGCCCGATGCGGGACTCTATCCCAGGACTCCAGGATTGCGCCCTGGGCCAAAGGCAGGCGCTGAACTGCTGAGCCACCCAGGGATCCCCAGCCTCAGTTTCTTATCTACGAAATAGGGAGAATAATTCTCTACCTCATGGGGTCATTTTGAAGGTCAGATGAGATTATGCCTGGCACTAAGCATTTCACAAAGGCCATAGGGTTTCTGTTATCAAAAGCTGTGGTTGGCCTCTCTTGTGTTCCTGGGAGTTCCCCATACTGGCCCTAGGGCACCACACTGTGCCCACACTTAATTGGGTGGGCAGGGGGGCCTTTCCGCCTGATTGTGAGCACTGAGAGCATCAAACCATGTGCCAAGGAAGACAAGGAGTCTGTTCCTTGTTTTGTAAAATAAGCCATGATTCTTCTTGGCTGGCCCTGTCCTCCCAAGCCTGGATATTGGAGTGGGATACTGTACAACACTGTGTACCAGGCCCTATGCCAAGCATTTTCCATACCCTACTTCACCTCCCTACTTCCTGAGGAGGTGTCCTTATGTCCCTGTTTTAAGGTCACTGTTCTCCACCATTTATATAAAAGAAAACCTGTTTGCATCTCCAGAAGGATGTTTAAAAAATTGACTGATCAGGAATAGTATCAGTACCAGGGACTCTTGTTTCCAGCTTTTCAAACTTGGTTATTACTTAGCTTATAATTAATTTAAGATTTATTTATTTGAGACCGAGGGAGAGAGAAAGAGCACGAGCAGTGAGAAGAGGGAGCAGAAGCAGGCTCCCTGCTCAGCAGGAGCTCGATCCCAGGACCCTGGGATCATGACCTGAGCTGAAGGCAGACGCTTAACCAACAGAGTCTCCCAGGCGCCCCTTACTTAGCTTTTTAAAAACGAGCAAGTGGTATTTTTATAACTAAAAAAAATTTCAGTAAAAACAACAAAAAGTCCAGAGAATGTAATAATAATGCTTGTTGGGGACATATGGTATCAGACTGTCCTGTGTCCTGCCAAAGGAATCAGCAGGATCTTTCTGGAGGGCAGAACGGGTGGCTCCTATTATTCATCGCCTTAAAACTGTATTCTTTTAAAAATTAATCTTAGGAAATAATCAGATTGCACAAGGTTGTTAGCACAAGGATGTTTATCATTTAATAATTACAAAAGAGACCAAATGCCCCCCAATAGAGGATTATCTAAATAAACTTTGGTGATCCTGCCCCACTGTACTCTGCTGCCAGCACCTCACACTGCTATGTGGACATGGGGAAAGAGTCACAAAAACTGAGAAGTGGTGTTTAGTGTGGTAACATTTTCATTTTTTATTGTAGTAAGATATATAACCTAAACTTTGCCATTTTTTTTAAAGATTTATTTATTTATTCATGAGAGAGAGACCTAGGCAGAGGGAGAAGCAGGCTTCTTACAGGGAGCCTGATGTGGGACTCGGTCCTGGATCCTGGGATCACACCCTGAGCCAAAGGCAGACGCTCAACCACTGAGCCACCCAGGCGTCCCAACTTTGCCATTTTAACCATTTCTAATTGTACAATTCTGTGACATGAAGCCCATTCACACTGCTGTGCAGCCACCACTCTCCTCCATCTCCAGAACATTTTCATCTCCCCCAACTGAAATTCTGTCCCCAGTAAACAAAAATCTTCCATCCCTCTCCCCTTCCCAGCCTGTGTAGAACCCCTACTCCACTTTGTTTTTCTGAATTTGACAACACTGGGTACCCTCTGTAAGTGGAATCCTACCATCTTTGTCGTTTTGTGACAGGCTTCACTCAGCAGAACATCCTCGGGGGTCATCTGTGTTGTAGCAGGCATCAGAACTGCTTTCCTTTTAAAGACCGAGTAGTATTCCGCTTACATGTACACCATGTTTTGTTCATCTATCAGTGGACACTTGGGTTGTTTCCACCTTTTTGTTTTTTGTGAATAACACTATGTGAACATGGGTATACGAATATCTGTTCTGTTCTCTTTCAGCTCTTTCATCTTAATTTTTAAAAAATCTATATATATGCATTAAAAATTGACTAGAAGAATGTATATCAAAATTAATATCTCTGGGTAATGAAATCTAAAAGATTTGTGTGTGTGTGTACTGTCTGGTGTTTTACAATTAGACTTTTCAAGTTTAAATTACTTCCATAGTTCAAAAATGTTGGGGCAAGGGGCCACCTGGGTGGCGCAGTCAGTTGAGCATCTGACTCTTGGTTTCAACTCAGGTTCTGATCTCCGGGTTCATGAGATCGACTCCACATTGAACTCTGCACTCAGCAGGGAATCTGCTGGAGATCCTGTCTCCCTTTCCCTCTGCCCCTCCTCCTGCTCTTGTGCATGTGTGGGCTCTCAAATCTTTTTTTTTTTTTAAGTGTTTTTTAGGGCAGCCAAGGTGGCACAGTGGCTTAATGCCACGTTCAGCCCTGGGCGTGATCCTGGAGACCCAGGATCGAGTCCCACATTGGGCTCCCTGTGAGGAGCCTGCTTCTCCCTATGCCTGTGTCTCTGCCTCTCTCTTTCTCTCTCTCTCTCTGTGTCTCTCATGAATAAATAAAAAAATCTTTTTTTTTAAAAAAAGTGTTTTTTAAAGGTGGCTGATGAGGTGAACCCTCCAAGGTTCACCCCCAGGAGTGGCGCTCCTTTCTCAGCCTTGCCCCCATGTTTCCTCAGCCGCCATGCAGCAGATGCTGACAGAGAGTTGCAAGAACCGGCTCATCCAGATGGCCTACGAGTCTCAGAGGCAGAGCCTGGTCCATCAGGCCTGTTCCAGGTAAGGTAAGGAGAGGCTTCCTGTGTTGAGGGCACTCGCTTGGGCCCAGGACCGTGGGGTGAGCGCTGGGCAGAGCCATCCCTCCTGCCAGCCTTGGCTGTGTGTCAGGGGCGAGTGGTGACTGCTCTTTATGACTCCTCTAGCTGGACCCCATGATTGGTCAGGCTCTGGTATAGTGACAGCAGTCACTCCCCCGTCTCCTGCACTTCCTTCCTGTGAGCCAGGCGCTCAGCCAAAGGATGTGTTGGCTTATTGAATTTGTGACGTTATGTGTTATTAGCCCTGTTTTGCCACCACAGCTCAGGTTCAGAGACCATGTGACATACTCAAGGAAACACAGCTTGCAGGTGGCAGAGCCAGGGTTCAAACCCAGACAGTGGGGCTGTACTCTTAACCATGGTGCACTCATCAACCTCCAAGGGTCTGTAGAGGTTGGGAGCAGGGTGCCTTCGAGGGGGTGTTGATAGGGCTGCTCTCACACTGGCAGCAGCTGTGGGTCTGGCTGGCCAAGTTCACTGCATTGCTGCGGGTTAGTCTATTGAAGGAGCCACAGGTGTCAGCACAGCCAGTGGAAAAAAGCTCTCCATGCTCAGGAGATGGGCCGGGAGCACTGGCTGCGCTGGTGTTTCTCCCCCTATCTGGGAGGCTCTGGCACAGCTGCTAGCCTCCCCTGTGTCCTCACAGGTACAAGGGTTTCTCCCTCCTTTCCCTGTGGTAGAGCCTAGGAGCGTGGGCACTGGTGACAGATTGACCTGGACTCTGGTTCTCCTTCTGTTAGTAACCGTGAAGTGCTGGGCCAGTCCATTTCCCTCCTGAGCCTCCGTCTTATCAGAAAAATGGGGATAAGTCACAGTAACTTACCCTGGAATTGCTGGAGAATTTAATGAGCATGATGTTTGCTACAGCACTGAACGTAGTGTCCAGCACTAGTAACACAAGAGGGTCCAATAAATAACAGCTATTATTATTAAATAAACTCAAAACCAAGATTCTGCCAAAGTATGGACATATATGCAGGGCTTCAGGGTTTGTATTTTTGTGCCAAAATCACTAGACTTTTTCTACAGGACTAAGAGCAAATCCACGGCCAGGGTGAGAAATGCTGGAGATGTAGGGTAGGGCATGGATGTTACTGCCTCAGAAGGAGAGCTTTCTCCTGTCCCAGGTGGCTCACCTGGGAGGTCATGAGCTCCTTGTTGGTAGAGGTGGGAGGGCAGAAGCAGGCCACCACTTCAAAGAGCAGTGCAGAGGGGATTCTGATGGAGGGGTGGATGAGAGGACCTAGACACACCAACTCTATCACCTTCCTTCTAAGACAAACTCCATGTCTGTCCCAGGATCTAGCCCCAGCAGGTGCTTCTTGAGTATCATTGAATGAGTTAATGGTTTATCTTGATCTCCAAGGTTCCTGGCCCTTGGTAGATGCTCAGAAAATGTTCAGAGAGTGAATTAATTTGCTGTCTTTCTGGCAGCATGGCCGAAATGGATGAGCGGTTCCAGCAGATTCTGTCATGGCAGCAGATGGATCAGAACAAAGCCATCAGCCAGATCCTACAGGAGGTGAGCCCTGGCCCAGGGTGTGAGGGCAGGGGCTCAAGCTGGGCACAGGGAGCCTGAGGCAGAGCATCGGAAGTCTGCATAGAGCCCTGTCCTTAGCTTATAAGACCAAAGATACTTAGTATGTTTAGAAGTGTACAGACCCTCAGGAAAGGGGGGCAGGGAGAGGGAGAGAGTGATGGTTTTCTGATCTCTGAGATCTAGAGAAACATCCCCCACTGTCCTGGCAGGCACCTACTACCCATGCTGTGTGGCTCCGTTGTAAGGACTTAGGGGGCAGGACGTGGCGACCACTCCATTGAGGTGGAGCCCACAGGAGAGCGCCAACAGCCTTCTTCCAAACAGCATCAGTGAAATGGGGCAGTTAAAAGCACCCATGTCACCAGTTGTGGAAATTCAGTGCACGATGCAGGAACAGCACTGAGCATAGTGTCTGGCTCAGTAAGCCTTTCATAGGTATTATTTCTTAAATGTGAACATGTGAACTGAAGAGTTCTGTTCCCCCTAAGAGACAGAGAAGTCCTACATGAAGGTGTTTCTGAGCAGATTGTGTTTTCCCTTGGCCTGGGCCCCTTCCAAGCGGCCAGTGATCTCTGTTGCAGAGCGCCATGCAGAAGGCCGCATTTGAGGCTCTCCAGGTGAAGAAAGACCTGATGCACCAGCAGATCAGGAAGCAGGTGAGTGCTGGAGCTGTGGCCCCCACCAACCCCATCCTGCGTGATCTCCCAGACTGCAGAGGTGGCTTTCATGCGCCAGCTCAGATACCCATTCCCACCCCCTCTCCCCACATTGTAACCAGTTCTGCTATTTTTCATGCTGCCTGTGGGCAGCCTTGACTGCTTGGGTGGCCTCTGCGTCCACTGTGCCCCAGGCAGGAACCTCTCTCTGTGAAAAGGCAGTCAGCTCCACCCCAGCCACCCCCGTCAACTCAGACTGAGTTGCTGGGGAAGGTCAGGTGTCCCACCAGGACAGAGGGGTGCCTGCTGTCCCCGAGGGGCTGCCCCACCTAGAGGGAGCTGTGCTCTAGTCTAGGCTCTACTGCTGGCCTAGGGGCTGGTCTCCCTAGTGGGCTGTGTCAGACCCTCTGGGCTTTCTGGAGGGCAAGCGGGTCATGGGTGCACGGGCTAGAGACAGAGTGAGCTTTCAGGCTGTGGGAGTGCTCATTGCATCCTACTTGGCGCACTTTGAATTCTACATATTCGCATGTTTTGTTTTGTTTTGTTTTTACCAAAGCAGACTTACCTTTTTATTTCCCTTTAATTTCAATTCCACCTTGCCAGACATGAAGCTCATTCCTCTGACCAGGGGTTGGTGGGACCATAGAAACTTAGAGGCAGGGGCCATAGGGTAACAGGCTCAGGGTGGAGAAGTCACTGGGTGTGGTGTCTGACCCCCAGACATCCTCCCCATGGGTGTTTCTGACCCAGCCAACCAGCTGTTGCCCTTCAGACCCCAAGCCTGGAGAGCCCTGGGAAAGGGCTCCCTCCCCAACCTGCTCTGTGTTCTGGAACAAGTTACTTAACCTCTCTGAGCCTCTGCTTCCTCAGCGCCATAAAATGGAGGCAATAATGCCTCCTAATAACCAGGGGAGATTTGATGATGTGACATAAAGTTCATAGTACAAGCCTTGCACACAAAATGTTCTAGAAGCATCAGCTGCTACCATCGTTGTTCTTAATCCATTTACCCTTTGCTCTCCTCTATGACACCAGTTAGAGGAAGCAAGAGACTTCAGCGAGTGCAAGGCTCAGTGAGGACCTGTGTCCATTCTGCCCTTGGGCCTGAACGTTAAAGGCAGGCCCATCTCCAGTCCATAAACTGGGAGCCTCTCTGGAATGGGCCTTCCAGGACAGGCCCATCTGCACCTCCCAAGCCCTCAGGGCCCTGAAATCACTAATTCTTTCAAAGCCCCACTGAGGGGGTTCCCAAGGCACCCAGGTTCCCTTCATTCCTGAGCCCCCAGAAATGTTTCTTAGACATCCCCCCTTTGGCCTTCAGAGAGCAGCTCAGACTTGAACCTTGGTTAATGTGAATTAAAAAAAAAAAAAAACCTGTTTCATCTTCTGTTTAGATTAAGTTAATAGAAACTGAGTTATTGCAGCTGACACAGCTGGAGGTAAAGAGGAAATCCCTGGACACAGAGGCACTGCAGGTATGTAGGGCTTCCTGCCTGCCCCTCCCTCCCCACCTCCTTCCCCACAGTGGCTCCCCAGCAGGCAGGCAGTCTCCTCTGTGGCTGTGATGGGAGCATAGTCAAAGGGCAAGCCCAGTGCAGGCCAGGGTTAAGGTTGGGGCAGCTTATTGCTCATCAGGAGGGTCAGAGGAAGGAGGGTTTCATTGCCAAGGCTCACCCGGGCCCATCTCCATCTCTGCATTTTCTTTGTTTTGAAGCAAGGTCACTGCTGAACTCCCTGTCTCCTTTAAGCCATGCTTCTGGGGTGCTAGTTCAACTTATGGGCAGACATCCTCTGGGGAAGGAGCTTTCTTGGTGTCCCAAGGATGTTTGGAGGAGAGGGCCCAGCTGTTACTATGTCAGTCCCTGCAGGTGGCTTCTCTGGGAGCTCTAGCCTGGGTGTCTTGCTTATAGAGCCAAGGGCAGGGAGGGGAGGGTGCGGTACGGACCGGCAGGTGGCATTCCACCAGGCTCTGCCTGGTGTCCGGGACCTGGGCTTTGTCCTTTGTAGTCCTGCTGTGTGACTTGGACAGGCAGGTGTGACCTCTGCCCAAATGTCCAAAAGCAGATAGACCAATAGTGCGTGAGGACCTGTGCCCTACATCGGGCCTCTGAGCAGAGTCTTCTGTCTGTCCCTGTCCCTGTGTCTGTGTCTGTTCCGAGAAGTCTTAAATTGTCTCATGGCTTCTCGACTCAGTCAAAGTGCGGAAGTCTACAGTCCTGGTCTTAGGTCTGCCACAGATGTGCTGTGTGACCTAAGGCAGGTCACGTTCCCTCCTAGGCCTCCATCTCTCCCCTCCATAAAAGGAAATAATCATCTAGGCCCAGCCTGTGTCATAGGGACATCACACTGGGGGCAAGCTTGCCAACGCAAAGCCCTTTGTGAGCCTTGGCAGGGTCTTCAGAGATGAGGGGATAGGGGAGTTCTCCAAGAAGATGCAGCGACCATGCTTGCAGGTGCCCATGTCTCCTGCCCATTAGAGAGCGCTTGTGGGACTCCTGTTTGGGGGGTTTCCATGGGTTTCCAAGAGTAAGAAACAAGTAGAACATAGACACAAGCAGGGACTTCACTCCAGTTTGCATGTGCCTCCATCTGGGTGGAACCTTCCAGATTTGTGGGGTTACATGCCAACCCTCCCTGCCTGTGCTTCCACCCACATGCTCTGTCATCCGTGAGACTGCAGTCATGTACTTGTGGCTTGTCATTTCCTTTGTTTGCTGTTTCTTATCCTTTCACAGTCATCAGTCACTGGATCCCACGCCTGGCCTGACCCCCACGGGGAAAAGACAGGGAGGAAATACCCAGGCATAGGGGCTCCTCGGCTCTGTCCCCCAGCCCTCTGCCCAGTTGAGTTGGGCCCAGTGTGGGGTCCTGGCTGCCAGCTTAGAAACGAGTAGGGGGATCTGTCACCCAGTGAAGGGGACTCCTGGCTCACTCCAGAGCTGTGAGCCTCCAGCGGTACTGGGCATGGTCTTGTGTTGCAGGAGATGATCTCCGAGCAGCGCTGGGCCCTGAGCTCCCTGCTCCAGCAGCTCCTCAAGGAAAAGACGCGACGAGAGGAAGAGCTCCGAGAAATCCTAGTGCGTTTGGCTTCTGTGTTCATTCTGCGTTGCACATGGATTCACTTTCCCTAAACACACTCACCATTCTTAGAAGCATTTTTGTTATTCCGAGTAATAGTTGCTCATCGAAGAAAAAAACGGAACATATGAAGGAAAAGATTCTCACTTCTGAGAGTTATCTAATACTAACGTTTTGATGTGTTTTCCGAACTCTACAATACATATTTATAGCTGTGCCTGTGTGTGCCTTGTAACCGTAAGATGGCACATGCCCCTTTAGGAGCAGCTTGCTTGTATCTGTTCTTCTCATGTCCCTAAAATGCCCACTACACTCTTCCTGGCTGCATTGGATGGGCCATCCTCGCCCATGGCCAAGCATTCAGACTACTTCCAGTTTTTTACTTTTCTAAGAAATTCTCTCTGTCTTTGTAGCTAAGTCTTGAGAGCAGCCATGAGTAGTTATTTAGGACAGATGCCCAGGAGAGGACTTTCTGTGTCCAGTGTAGGCTGTTTAATAATCTTTTGATAGCAGTTGCCCACCTGTCCCCTGTACCCAAATGGGTTTGACTCTGGCACATTGTCAGGGTAGCAGAGCCCTGTTTAGGGGTAGCAAATGGGGATCACTTCCTCCAGACCCCGTGTGCATTGGAACACTGGGGACAGAGGCCAGAGCTCAGAGACCTAAGTCACTCCTGTGGTGTCATTAATACTCCAGACAATCTCTGAGCTCCATTGTGGGTGGAGGCCTGTGCAGAGAAGAGCGAGACCAGCTTTAACAGCCTCATGTGAACCCATGTGTTGTGTGTGGTCCAACCAGAAGCTGCCTGTTCCTCACGATGCCTTACGGCCATGCCCTGTGAACAATGCATTAGCATCATGCAGCAATGGCCGAATGCTCAGGTCTTGTGCTTCTACCCTCAAGGGGCCTCAGAGGACTCACCATCCAGGGGAGGAAGCATCACCTCAGCAGATGGTGACTGTGTCAGGGTCATGGGCATCAGAAGAGAGCTGTATCTGCAGCCCGGGAGGGCCATGGGTGGCAGAGGGATGGGAGCAGCTTGGCAAGGTCTAGGAGGGATGACCAAAGGACAGTCAAGCCCCAAGGGGACTGGAGAAAGGCCTGTGTCAGAGTCTTGTTGCCCACCTTTCATTTGTCCCCCAAGTGTGGCCACAGTCCTGGCTGGGTGGCCTGGCTTGCTCAGAGCACAGGTCCCAGGGCAGAACAGACCTGGGTCCAAGTCCTGACCCTGCACAGCTCTTTTAACTGGGCAGCTTCCTAATTCCCCTGAACCCCCCTTTCCTCACCTTCATGTTGCTGTGCAAATTAAGGAAAATGGGACCTTGGTGCAAAGCGGGATCTGTCACATAGTGCTCTAAGGATATTAGCTGCTGCCGTCACTGCTCCCATCCCTTGTCGTGGCCCTGGCCCCAGCACCTAGAACCATGTGTGGTCAGAACAACACCCTGTGACTACTTGTTCATGGCAGAATGAAGGAATCTGATTCCGTAGCAGATACCATTTTCCAGCTTTTTCAGAAGGGCAAAGCCCACTCCAGAAGCTCATGTTGTCCTTAGAATCCTGTTTCTCTCCCTGCCCGTCACCAGAGTGTGTGCTCAAGCAGGGCCCCCGCAGAGCCTGGTGGCAAGCATCCAAAGCCCAGAGTCAGGCCTCAACCCCAGGTGTTCCCTGGCTGAGATTGTTTGTGGCAGGAAACTAGGGGCAGAGGTACTTCCTGCCTTTCCAGGTTCAGTAGTTTAATAAGTGGTGAGACTGTGGTGGCTGGGAAAGTTCTTTGTAAAATACCAAGCACCTTCCACCTGCTGAGACCATTGTTTGAAAGCATCACTGTCATTATAGTTTTTATTTACTGACCTATTAATGCCTATTTTGACCTTGGCAGACAGAGTTAGAAGCCAAAAGCGAAACCAAACAGGAAAATTACTGGCTGATTCAGTATCAACGGCTTTTGAACCAGAAGCCCTTGTCTTTAAAGCTGCAGGTAAGGACTGCTGGCCTCCACACTTTCAGAGAGCCCTCCTGTGCCTCAGTGATGTCCTGCTGCGTGAGCTTTCCAGTAACTAGTGTACCAGGTCCTGTGCTGGGCCCTGGCAGGGACAAAAAAGAGAGGGTGCATTCCTTCTGATGAAGGGGAGGCAGCTGCACTGCTGTGTGGGGCAGAGCCTGTGAGCATGCCCATGTGTGAGCGGGCAGCAGGAGCTGTCTGCAAGCCCCTGCTGGGGACAGGACAGATGTGGTTCCCCCTACCCTGAAGTGTGCACGTACACACATGCATACACATGCTTGGCTTTTGTTTTGTCTTGTTTTTTAATTAAAATGGAGCCTGTGTGTGTGTGTGTGTGTGTGTGTTTCTGTTTCTGTGTATACACACTATCTCAGCAAATCTTTTTTCTCTTAAAAATAATGACAAGCCAGGGCAGCCCTGGTGGCTCAGCGGTTTAGCGCCACCTTCAGCCCAGGGCCTGATCCTGGAGCCCCAGGGTGAGTCCCACATCAGGCTCCCTGCATGGAACCTGCTTCTCCCTCTGCCTGTGTCTCTGCCTCTCTCTCTCTCTGTGTCTCTCGTGAATAAATAAATAAAAATCTTAAAAAAAAATAATGACAAGCCATGATTCTCTACAAGCCAAGTTCTCTAGCCATATATATATATAATAGACCTCCTCACTGTTTCCAGATAACTGCGTAGTACTTAGTATCTTGGTGAACCCTCATTTATTTAAACAGCCCCTGTTGATGGGTATGTGATTGCTGAGCATTTTCAAGTTTACAGCCAGAGTGGCAGTGAACTTTCTTGTGCCTTTATCTCTGTGCTTACATGTGCATTTTTGTAGAAAAAATTCCAAGAAAATACTTTGTGACATTAAATTTACTTAGAGCCTTTGTTTGCCATCGTAAATAACGAGGTCATATATGCAGTACACTCAGCTTCTCCTGCGGGTCTGTCTTGCAGGAAGAAGGCTTGGAGCGCCAGCTGGCAGCCCTCCTGGTGGATCTGTCGGCGGAACACTACCTGCCCATCTTTGCCCATCACCGCATCTCCCTGGATATGCTGAGCCGGATGAGCCCTGGAGACCTGGCCAAGGTGGGAAGCGGCAGCCCCTCACGGCCACTGTCCGATCCTCCAGGGGTCCACTTGCTCTCCTGCAGCTCTTAGTGAGGTCTGCCATTAGCAAATGTCCCAGGGGCCCCCTTGCCATCTGGAAGATGGCCAGCACACCCACCTCATTGGTCCCTAACTACCACCCCCCCTGCCAGGTGTACTCTGCATGCCATCTGCCTAAGAAAATCCAGGGATGTGGGTTCTGCTGAGTCCAGACTGCCCTCCCCCGCCCCCACACACACACTCAAATCGGACCTTCATGTTGTAGGCCCAGGGTAAGTCCTTGGAGGTTGTTTCGTCCAACCCTGTGCCACCACCCCACCACCCCCCGGTTTTACAGACTTCGTGGCAGCACTGCCCGAGCCTGGTTATATTCTCAGTAGGAAGTGAGCTCTGCATTGCATTAGGACAACCAACATCCCTGTAGCACTTACCAGTGCCAGGCACTGTTCTAAGTGCTTTTCGTGTGCTAATCCCTTGAACCCTCCCAACAGCCCAGGCAGATAGGTATCATCCTTGTCATTTTTCAGATGAGGAAGCAGATACGGCAAGGGAGTGACATGCCTGAGGTCACACAGCAGAACCAGTCCTCGGGCGTGCGTGGTCTGATGCTGTTTACCAGTCTGCTGTGTTGCCTGCCCCTTGGCCCAGAAACTGAGGCTCAAAAGGGCTTCAGAGGGGCTGTGTGACTCCAGCACTACTGCTTCTCAGCAGCTTGGCCTCAGTGGGAACTACCTGCTCCTTCCTGTGACTCAGGACAGTGGGTCCTGACTTACCTGTGGTCATGGGGGGGATGTGCGGTCACACAGGTAAAGCTGTCAGCGCAGTCCCTTCCCCAGTGTGGGGCAAGCACATGCTAAACTGTGGCCCCTACCAGTGTCTGTTTCCTTCAGGGCCTCAGTTTCTCTCCCTGCCACCTGGTCACCTTCACAGCTGTGGTGCTGCACTGCCTCATGTTGACCCAGGGGCCCAGCCTCCACATTTCCAGGTGAAGGTGCCAGAAGCCAGGAAGGAGGCAGTCCTGGTGGCTCTGTACTGGGTAGTGAGCTCCCACCTAGCCAGCCCATAACTTGCTTTTCCTCGAACTGCCCTAGGTGGGCGTCTCAGAAGCTGGCCTGCAGCATGAGATCCTGCGGAAAGTCCAGGAGCTGCTGGATGCAGCCAGGATCCAGCCAGGTACCAGTACAGGACCTCTCCTAAGCAGAGGCCCCAGCCTCCCTTGTGGACTGTGCTCTGGAGGTGGTCACCTGTTTACATTTCAAGACAATAACTAAGGGCAGGTTCTAGCCCCTTGCAGTCCTTAAGGCTCCCTCCTAAAGGAACAGGATTTCCAAATGGAAAACATCGGCCATAAAAATGGGGTGGTGGTACAGATAGGCCTATCCTATAACCTTCTCTGAAGCTACTATACGGACACTGGGAGCCACACACCCCCAACCCTTGGAATGGAAGGAGAAACCAGCCATACCTGGTACCCAACACTGTGCCAGGGACCGGCCTGTGTTTTGGATGTGGAAAGATGTTTTTGATGACGTACGAAGGGGTAAAGGCAAGTCAGAAAGGCATTCCACCTACACCTGGAGGCCTAGAGAAACATAGGTGCTGTGGCTGCAAGAGGGGCAGGAGACCTTCAGTCCTTTTCCTAACAACCTCTTCCTGCTCCCCTAACCATATCCCGTTAAATACAGAAGAGCCCCTTTACAGTGATAGTTTGGGGGCACCATGGTACCTTCAGAGAGCCTAGTGTTGTAACAGCCTTTTAAAAAAATCAAGTTTTTCCAGTTATAAAAACTTCTAATTCAAACCATAAGATAGATGGGAAAATGTGAACTGGCATCAGGATGGGCGTCAGTGATAGAGAAGACTCAGGGATGTTGGCGATGTTGGTGTACGTTGAACTATAATGAAAAAGACTACATTTTATAGGGGCCGGTTCTGTCCTGCCTGTTGGGACCTGGGCAGAGCATGAGGACAGGGGTGAGGGGACTTCTCATCCCTCTCCCTGCTCCCTGGTGGCCTCCTGGGAGACCTGATGGAGCAGCTGTGAGCACAGCACCCCTGCCACCCCTCAGCCCCTAACCAAGGGCTCCTGCCCCATGGCTCTACCCCCAGATGGAGTCTCCCTGTGGTCTTGGGCAAGTGGCTTCTCTTCTCTGAAAGCAAGAAGCCCTACCTGCAGCATTACTGTGAAGGATCCTGGGGGAATGGTCAGGGATCAGAGACCCCAAATAACCAGCACTGTGGCCCTCCCTGTGGTGAGCCGGCCCTCCTATCTCACACATAGGGGAATGAGGCTCAGAAGAGAAATAAGGGGGCCCTTACCCCTACAGTGAGATCAGTGCTCTGCCTTAGCTCACTGTCCACTCGTGGCAGCTAGAGCCAGGGGATCCCTAGGGGTTGGGATCATCGTGGCATGACCCTGGCTCAGCCTACCCTGCTGGTCCCCACAGAGCTGCTGAACCCACACAAGGGTGAAGTCCTTGGGGCCCTGGAGGTGCCCACTGCCCCTGAGGAGCTTCCTGAGTCTGTGAGCCCCTCTGCTCCCCCAGCAGAGCTGGAGGTACAGACATCAGAATGTGTCGTGTGCCTGGAACAGGAGGTAAGTCGAGGGCAGCAGCCCCCAATCCCACCCCCCCACCCCCACCCACGAGCCTGACCTGCACCCATTCTGAGCCTTTCCAGGCACAAGTGTTATTTCTATATACTTGTTTCTAGTGGTAGAAGTAGATTGTATTCATTAGAAATTTTGGGAAATCCAGGAAAGCAAAAAATAGAGGAAATTACCATGATCCCATGACCCAAATATGAGCAAGGTTAATGTCATTTTCTGGGACTTACTTTCTTTTAAAGGGGTTGGGTTTTTTTTCCCCCTACTTAATTAAGGAAAATTTCCCAAGTCATTAATATCAACAACACAATTTTCTCTGAAGAGACTTCTAAAACACCATCTTTTAAAATCTATAACAAAATAAGGGGCACCTGGGTAGCACAGTTGTTTAAGTGTTCCTCTCTTAATTTTGGCTCAGGTCATGATCTCAGGGTCGTGGGGTCAAGCCCTATGTTGGGCTCTCTGCTGAGCACAGAGTCTGATTAAGACTCTCCTCCCCTGCCCCTCCCCTCTTCTCTCTCTCTCTCTCTTTTCCTTTTTCTCAAATATTAAAATACATATACTTAAAATCTATAACAAAACTAATGCTTATTGTAAAAACTAAGCAATATAGTATATAAAAGTATATAAAATAAAAACCCTCCCTACCCTCCACCGTGGTCTGGTCCCAGAGACCCTACTTAAAAGAAGCTACCATGTTAGCAGTCGAATTCCTGCAGGGTCTTCACTAAGCCCAGGGAATGCCATGATGTAGGGGGATGTGCTGGTTATAAACTGAACCAAACCCCGGCTTTAGGGCCCTGTAGGTGGCTTCCAGTTTATTTCAAGCACTGCTGTACCAAACAGCCTTGAACAGAGTTGGGAGCACATTCTTGACTATTTCCTTAGGATGTCTTAAAAGAGGACATGCTGAATGAAACAAAGCACAGGCATGCTTACATGGCTCTTGGTCCAAGATGTTGGAATCGTTTTTAGACCTAGAGGCTGGTCAGTGCAAAAGGCAAAAATTAGGAACCCCTCCAGGGCCAAAAGCAGGGCTGGTTGGACACACTACAGCCTCCTGTGCGGCTGTTAGAGAGGGCATGGAGGGGCCAAAATAGGTGGTCCATGGGCACTTCCGTGATGTTCGATGGTGTGTGATGGCCATGGTATCAGATTCTTAATAAAGACAAAAAGAGGTTGGGGGGACTCTTGCCCCATCGCCAGGGAAGAGGCAGGGGCAGGACCCAGAGGCTCCCACTCTCTCCCCTCAGGCCCAGATGATCTTCCTCAACTGTGGCCACGTCTGCTGCTGCCAACAGTGCTGCCAGCCACTGCGTACCTGCCCACTGTGCCGCCAGGAGATCACGCAGCGCCTCCGGATCTACCACAGCAGCTGAGCCCTGGCCATCTGTGGCCCACCCCTGCACCACCTGCGGCCCGGGGCTCCAGCCGACTCCCCTGCTCTGGACAAACTAGTACAGTGCCCCTCTGCCCTGGGCCCCTTTCTCTCATGGGGGTGCTGCCCCCTGCTCTTCATCTCCAAGCACACCTGGGTGGGGGAGGGAAGGGAGGGGCACAGTGTTCCTGGCCCATGACACTGCTCATTAAGGGCTGTGGGGAAAACAGGACTCGGCATGAGGACTGGGTCTGGGGTTTGGAGAATCAGTGGTGCCACCATCTGAGCACAGGACCCCGTGTCCCGGCCTCTGCCACTTCCCAGCAGTCTGACCGTGTCAGGTCACTGCCCTCCAAGAGCCTCAGCAGCCTCATCAGGGTAACATGAATAGTGCTGTCCCCTTGATGGGGGGTGGGAGTGCAGGAGGGCCCTGGCCAAGAGTGTGGAGCTGTGTATGGTGTCAACCACGACCACCGTGGGCTGTCCTCAGATCAACTTGCCAGTGTGTGTTGAGTGCAGGCCTAATGCCACAAGCAACGTTGGCCCCTCCTGACCTCCCGCTCTGGGCCCCTCTGCTCTCCAGATCTGCACCTCCTAACCACCACCACCACCCTGCCCCCACCGTAGTTCGCAGGCGACAAGCTTTGCTGACCCAAAGCAGTATTGTCAATAAATCCACCTCCAGCCTGATCCTCCTGAATCCTTACTGGGGCCTGGTGGAGCCCAGAAGAGGAGGGGGTGAGGTCTGGGGTGGGGGTTGGGGGAGGGCTTTATCTCAGTCAAAAGGAGGGAGAGGTGCTAGAAGCATCCCTAAACACAGTTATCCAGATCTCCCCTTTATAAGTGGACAGACCGAGCTCAGAGAGCAGGGCATGGAGAGTCAGCCGGAGCAGGTTGTGTGTGCATGGGGCAGGGGCTGTGGGTAGCTCCATTACTGCTAACCCAGCTACGAGCCGTGGGCTCCGTGCCTGGCATCTGGGGCATGGCCGTGCTGGGTTTGGAGCCTGGAAGTATCAACTCCTAAACCCATGCAGTTGGGCAGATTTTTCACTGCACAATTCTAGAAGGAGCCATGCACCTTGCACTTGCTTAGAGCTGCACACTTATTGTAGAGGTGGGTCTCTTTGGGGTACCTGGGCTCTGCCTCCCGCTAACTCTGAGCCTGGCCAGCTTTCCAGACTCCTTTTCCCATGCATTCAGTATGGGACAGGATTGGGCCCTACTGCAGGCAGTGGCCACCAGGGGGCACTGAATGCTCACCCCGGGTGCAGTGCTGGCTAGTGGGGCTGGCAGAGGGGTGGCAGAGGCCTGCCTCCTCTGGGCCCCACTTTCCCTACCTCACTGGGACCATCCATCCTGTAGGCTAGGGTGGGATGAAAGCCCCTTGTAAGTCCTGCTGTCCAGGCAAGAGCTGGGGCCCCTTTGCACAGTCTCCTCCCCCACCCCTAACTTCCTGGGAGCTCTCTGATGGCTCCCTCCCTTGGCCCCAAACCTGAGCTCAGCCCAGCCAAGGGAGACTGAGACCTGAGTGGGCAGGGCCACTTAGGGCACAGTGTTTTTCACGTAGGCTCCTCACTAGGCCCGGGGAGAACTTCTGCAACCAACTGCCCACCCCTTTTATAGATGGAGCCTGAGGCTCTCGGTAGGGATTCGCCAAGGACAACAGCAAGACTGCAGTTGAATCTCTGGGCTCTGACCCCATAGCCCCTGCTGCTCCTCACCTCAGCTCTTATAGACCCGCCCTCAGCCACTGGCCACCTTGGGCAGGCTGGCACCAGGGAAGCCAATGTCCCACCCACCCACCCCCGCCCCAGGAGGTCTGCTTTCACCCTCAGATGGGACAACCCATACCCATCAGGTATGTGTGCCCTGTGCCCCACAGCCTCAGCCAGGGATCCATAGTACCTTCTTAGGCCTCCGTGTACCTGGTGGGGGGCTGGGGGTGTAAGGAGGGCGCCCGCCTCCCGGAGTGCTCAGTGAATGCTGTGTGAGCAGGACTCCCGAAAATGCCTACACTGCCTTTCGGATCCAGCTTGAGCCCAGATGACTACCCCACTGTGGATGCCCCAGGGCTAGGCTACGTGGCCTAAAGGCTGCTGCCACCCCTCCTGGCCTCACCCCGGCCAGAGGCTGCCTGAGGAACCCCTGCGCCTATGTGGCTGAGAAAGCTGAGCGGCCCTCAGGCAGGGCAGCCTAGCCTGTGCCCCACACCTCATGTCTCCGGGTCGGCATCCTCCCCCGACCATGCACAGAGAGGTAAACAATGAGCCCAGAAAGGGTACACGGGTGTCCTAGCTGGGCTCTAGCCAAGGTCTCCCCCAGGTGGCACCACACACAGGCCACTGGCTTTAAATCATTTATTGATTAGTAAAGCTTAAACGGTTTGCATAATATTTTCAGTACGATATCTGGTCAGGATGACTGAGAAAACCCCAAGAGAAGGCACTAGAGGTGCACATCTGAGCACGGACCATGGTGCTAGAAGGTTAGTGAGGCACTGGAGATTAGGGCTGGGGGACCAGGGGTCCCTGAGCACCAGCCACTGCCATGCAGCCTGTGGGTCTGCAGCCCCTGCCCCAGGAAGCAGATCAAGGGGACAGAGGATGCAGGGCCACAGAGGAGGCTGGGGAAGGGGCTGCCAGGCTGGAGCTGCCTCACTTGACCTTCACCCCCAAGAACAAGCAGATGTGCAAGGACATCTGAGAAAATCTTCAGGGTGAGGTGACTTGGTGATGCAGAGGCAGTGGAATGGGGGCCAAGCCATGGCCTGACCCCAGATCATCAGAAAGGCCACCCATGATGCCTTGGGGAGCCACATGCAGCTCCCCTGGTGGACAGTGCGTACCTGGGGGTGGCCCTCAGGAGACAGAATCTACACCCTGCAAACCCCACTTCTGAGCAGCCTGCCACCCCTCTGTCCCAGCCCGGGGTGTGTGGCCACAAGTGGGGCAGGGGAACAGGCAGGAGCCAGGCTGGGGGGTGGGGGGGTGGAGGGTGGAGATGCAAAAGCCTGTTCCAGCAGCCTTCCCTCTGCCACCTCAGCCTGCTCTGAAGACACTCCAGCCATACTTCCCTGCAGGTCACCTCTTCCCTCCCTTGGAACACTTCCTCTACACCGACCAGCACATTCTGGGCCTTTCTTGCTCCAAGCCAGACCCCTCAGCCCCCCTCCTCCGTGAGGCATTCCCCCAAACCAGCACACCCAGCCTGGCTGCAGCCTGCAGGAACCCCCCCGCCCCCCGTGCACTTCCCTCACCCAGAGCAGGGCAAGCAAGGCCAGTGTCCACTCCAAAACTGGCTTCCAGAGGCCCAGCCAGGATTGAGGAGGACAGTGGTCGGGACCCAGAGCTGGACCTCAAGGCTCCATATTCCTGGCTCCAGCAAGTCCCCTGGTGAGGAGAGAATTAAATGGCCGAGTGACACACGAACAAAGACTATGCCCATCTGAGGAGGAGGGTGAGACTCATGAGGAAGGCAGGAAGGGAGGACCAGGCCACTGGGTACTCCTCAGCCCCCTTGGCTGTGCCCAGCCCTCAGCACAAACAGGAAGCCCAAGATCATCCCACAGAAGAGAAAACAGGGAGCAAAGTGTGACCAAATCCAATAAAGTGACTCAGGTGGGCCACCCCTGCCCAGCCCCAGAGGTACCACAACAGCCCTGCCCCACCTCCACCCTGAGGCCTAGATCCGGGGCTCCCCGCCTGGGGCCTGGCCTGCCAGGGTCTCCGAGGGAGTGACCCATGTGCCATGACCAGCAGAAGCTCAGGGGTGACTGGCCTAGAACTCTGTCTGTACCCCGGCGCTGTCCTCGGTGGTGGTATGGATGGGAGGGCGGTCACCGGGGCTGGACACCTGCTCCCCGGTCTCCTGGTCACTCGGTTTGGGAGGCTCAAGGTCCGCAGCCTTTCCAGGAGGGAGTTGCCACAGGGGTGAGGCAGGTGGTGAGGAGGCCTCTGAGGCTGCCACAGGCTGGGGGCTCTCCGAGGAGGGGGCCCCATTGAGCAGAGGGCCAGCCGACAGGGGGTTCTCCTCCCGCAGCTCCCTGGCCAGCAGACCACGGAGCTCAGTGACACTGTCCGGGGATGCAGGTGACAGCAGCTCTGAGCTAGCCTCGAACGGCAGCTCTGCTTCCTCATCCTGGACTACGGACACCACCTGCTTGGCACGCCGTCGCTTTTCTGAGAAAGTGGCTGCTTCTGGGGCACCAGGGCTGCCACCGTCTCCACCGCTGCCGCTGTATTCCTCACTCCAATCGATGGGGGCACCCTCAGCCAGCAAGTGCAAGTTGGGGTCGCTATTGTGCATGACCATGCTGTCCCGGTATAAGTTGTGCTTCCTCTGCACCGCGGCCTCCTTCACAGCTGCGGGGCCAGAGGGCTGGGTCAGAATATTTAGTCCAGGGGCCGCCACCGCACCCTCCACCGTGCCCAAGGAGGAGGCCCCCAGGCCCCCGCCAGCCTGAAGGTCACGATTGGTGATTAGCCCAGGCCTCACTGCTGGTGGCAGCCCAAGCTGGCCATCACCATGTCATCTATCCCTCGTCTGACACCGTCTGTAATGCCAGAGACCTGAACCAACACTCAGGGAGGCGTCAGGACAGCACGGAGAAGCGATGCTCCTCATAGGAGCACCTCCTCATAGGGCCACACAGCGTGCCTAAACCAACCCCCAGGCCTATCTCGTGACAGATGGGACCAGGAGGACCTCTCAGCCACCACCCCATCGCCCCCCTGGCCATAAGGATCCCCACAGCAAGGTGGGAGTGTCCCCTTCCGGCCCCAGCTCGGCAGCTGGCTGTCCCATACCCTGCAGGATGTCCTTCATGACCGTCTGCAGCACCACCTCCTCATATGTGTTCTCCACCAGGATGAACCTGGCGAAGTCCTCAAAGATCAGCTCTTGGAACCGGGGCAGCTCCTGCAGGGGTGGAGGGGGCATGGGCAAGTGGATGTCAGGCTGCCCCATGGCCCCATGGGGGGAGAAGGGGAGAGCTGCGCATGGGGAGCTGTGGTGGGGAGAGGGGGTGCATGCTCACCGACTTGCACGTGGGGGCCAACTTCTTGAGCAGGAACGGGATGGTGATCTGCAGCAGCGCCTCCCGGAAGAATCGCTTCCGCACCGAGCTGCTGTCGTAGTCGTACTTCTGCAAGGGAAGACAGGCCCCGTGGGGGGGGCGGGGGTCTCTAGGTCAGGGGGGATAGAAGCCTAGGGGACCTGGCCAGAACTTTGGAGTCCTTGTGTGTGCAGGGGAGCCAGTGGTGCCTCCCAGAGGGGTGGCCCTCCTGGTGCTGGGATGGGGACCCGGCTCTGGGCACCGGGGCCAGGCCTCTCACCTACCTTCAGCACCCGCTCCAGGATCCGCTGGGTGGCCTTGCACAGCTCCTCCCTGCTGGGCCCCTTCCCCAGCTCCTGGTACAGAAGGCTCTCAAAGGTGTACACGGCGTTGTCCATTTGCTGCAGGGCACACCGTGGGGTACATGAGGGCCCGGAGTGACCACAACCTCTGCCCACATGCCTCTGAGGTCTGCATGGGGGTAAGGGAGGCTGTGCACTCAGGTGTTCACCCACACCTTTACTGAATGTCTGTGCGTGGGCACTGTGTGGGGCACCCAGTCCCTGCCTCAAGGAAACAGAGGTCCTGGGCCCTGCATGAAGGGGCCTGGGAAACATGGAGGGCTTCCTGGAGAAAG